TATAGAAATTGTCTAACGATAACAGAAATTCAATTTATTACTTTATTTATAATTTATTATAAAAATTTTTGCCCATATAACATATATTTAATAAATATTAATAAAATATGTTTAATTAAGTTTCGAGTTCTTGAATATATGAATCAGAATCTTGTGCATTTCATATATGGCGCCCTAAATATTAAAAAAATTACTATAATTTAAATTTAAACTTACTTTTAAAAGATTCTAATTTTTCGGTAGCGCATTTACTTTCTTGTGACGACAATGTATAGTATAACTACGGCCAGTAGCATTTAACAGTGAAACTAATGTTAAGATATGACATTTGGGCAAGCAAAGAGTGTCGTCTATCTTGGAAATGTAAAGGAATTTGAAGGTCCGGATGGGTGTAGAAACTTTATATATATTTCTTCCTGCTTTTGATTTTTCACTAAAACAAAGCTAACCACCAATTAGAATCATAAAAATAAGTTAGGTATCATGATATTTCTTCAATAATTATACTTTCATCATTATATGATAACTATTCCAAAGTACTTTCTATTAAATTGCAATATATTTTACTTTTAAATTATGTAGATCTGTTGGAATCAAGGTGTATTTTGTGTGTTCCAGGTATAGATCTAGTTTTTGAAAATCTTTCCCTGAGTAATAGATCTTCGTAATCATAATTTATTTTGGTCATCTATTTTAATATTTTCTTTAGCTAACTCGTACAATTCATATGATGTGTACTTTGAGTAAGGCCTTGTAAACTAGCTCTAGCGGCTCATCTTTTAACAGTGCCACCAATCCCATCACAAACACTTTTCCCGTGTGCTGTAGCAGAAAAATGCCATTTCGCCTGTACCCCGAAATCCATCTCATGATGGCAAATATTAATAAAATTTTTACGTTTTTGTACTGTGCAGCGGATCCACCGAAAAATAAAAAATTTTATTAATTAAAAAATTTAGCAATGTTTTTTTAAAATTATGTACTGCTATTGTATTGTGTTGCAAAGATTCGGATATCATTACATAATTTAGGCAACAAATATTGGCAAAATTATCTTTAAGTTCAATTTTAGATTGTTTTGATACAACGATTGTTGCGTTGAAATAAAAAAATGATAAAGATTCCATTTATTTTAAAAAGGCATTAATAAATTCACCTACTGGTTTGGTTATTGTTTCAAGGGTGGTTCTATCTACGGATAGCCATTGTTTGTATGTTATAAATTCGATGTCCTTAGAACGAAACAATATTTCTATTTGATCGCGTAAATGTGTTGACCCTGGACAATTATCACATTTGCCCATATAAATGGATGGTTGAGGCGAATTACAAATTATTAAGTGTAAAATATGTTTGTATGTTTTAAAGGGCAACATATCATTGGTTAAATTTGATCCAATGATCATTAATTTAAATTTTGGTGGTAGCTGCAATCACATACATGTGTACCACTACCTTCAACGAGTATACAATTTTTGGGCGAATGCTTGCGAATTTCGAAAAACCAATTTTAACATCAGGCCTCATTTCTTTAAAAAATATATAAATTTTTTCCAAATTATCTAAAATTAATCTCTTATGGTATTCTTTTTTCCGTCTTTGGTCAAAATCGAAACGCAATCTTTCTTGTCTGGTATGATTCTGCTTATTTCGTCCATACAATAAAATTCTTGTACAATTTTAACTGTATATTCATCTATAGTTTTTCCAGGCTTGGGGTTAGGTGTTGATAGAAATCAAAATACCAAGAAATTTATTAAAAAATGAATTAATATAGTGAGTATGTGTTATTGAATGAATAAAACCCTTTCGCGCTTGAAATATTTCCCATAAACAAAAAATACTTGTACTTTGATATAATAAAATAATCATTTTGACATAATAAAATAATGATTTTGACAGGTTAATGATAAAATATGAAATAATAAATATTGTTTTATAAATTAATATCTCTAAGTACCAACCATTAGTTTCTTTAAATATAAAAATTAATTGATTAAAAATTTTAATGACAAATGATCTCGCTGGGCGCGAAAGGGTTAATCAATTTTAAAATTTTTATTTATTTTATTGATTGAAACACTTATTTATTGTTATTCTAATTTAGAAAGACTATGCCGATTTTAGAAAATCCGATCCAATATTTATATTGTTTTGGGTAATTTTATGATAATACTTTTATTTTGTATATAATTTCATAATAATAATAAATTAATATTTGTAATATTTTAAAAATTTCAAATTATTTTAAAAAATTGAGTAGAGAAAATTTTGATATTATTTTTGGCGTCTATGAAATGAACAAGATTCTGATTCATATATTCAAGAACTATAAACTTGGTTGAATATATTTTATTAATATTCATTAAGTATATGTTATATGGGCAAAAAATTTTATAATAAAGTAATAAATTGAATTTCTTTTATCGATAGACAATTTCTATAATTGAATGAAAGCCCCATTTATTGTTATTTTCACTTACAAGATGAATAATCCTTTAAATTATATCAAATAGTCCAAGAAAAAACATTAAAAACTGATTAATATATAATTTTATACAAAGACGCCCCCTTTCGGGAAAATATTTATACACTTTTTTAAACATTTTTATCGATTTTGAGAATGAAGATGGCCGCGTCCCAGACCAATTTTTTTTTATAAATATAAAGGAAGAGTTTAATAATGTCTACTAAATTTTTTAAAAAAATTGAAGGTCGTATTATTTCCAAAAAATCGTTTTTAGTCCTTATATATTAAATAAAATGACCGGAAATTGGGAAAAAAAATAAAAAATTTTTTTTATCTAAAAGTAGAATCTTTGTACGTAATTTTGATATTAAATTTGTTATTTACAATTATGTAGTTTTTAAGATATGCTTAATTGAATGAAGGCAGATAATGGTAAAAATACGTCATTTTTGACACTTTGAATCCTAATATCTTCAAAAATATAAATGTTAGGAGGCTAAAATTTTGGCTATTTCTTAGTTACATCGACCTTTCTTTGCTTACCAAATTTTAAAAAAATCGAAGGGGGTCGGCCGAATCGTGGTTGATTTGTCATGGAATGACCCGTTTGCGTTATGATAAAGTGATGGATGATATTATAGAAATGCTTTCTGGAGTATCTTATGTGTGTACCACAGCTGATTTCTGGAGTGGATTTAGAAGGTAGTGCCTATATTTTTAAATGTGCTTGATTAATTTAACTTGTAGAGGTCTTTTTTGGGTGTAACAGCTCATTGGATTGACACAAAATCATTGCAAATAAAATCAGCAGCTTTAGCCCTAAGACGTGTTCAAGGCAAGCATACTTTTGTTGTTTTGGCCAAGATGATAATTGATATACATAAAAGCTTTAAAATTCAGAATAAAGTGATAAAAACCATTACTGATAATGGTAGAAACTTTGTGAAAGCATTCAGGTAATCTTAAATATTTATTTTAAAATTATAACTTTCCTTTTATTTTTTAGAATGTTTGAAGATAAAAGTTCTGAGATGGATGATGATTTCCAATTTCTGGATATTGATGATATCCTAAATAATAGGGCAGAAAGCTTTGATTATCTCCCTCAACATTCACGATGTGCTTGCCACAATCTCAATTTGGTGGCAACAGTTGAAGCAGAGAAAGCTTTAGGTGATAGAAGCTTTCAAATAGTATCTCAAAGTTTATTCCAAAAGTGTCAATCTTTGTGGAATAAACAAAATATGTCTACAAATATGGCGGACGATATTATCAGAAAATTGGGTAGGTATCTAATATGCCCAAATTCCACTAGGTGGAATTCGTATTATGAGTCTATGGTTTTGCTAGATAAAATATTAGATGAAAAACAAAAGGACCTTGATGAGTTGTGTGATAACCACGGGCTTATACGTTTTAACTCCCAAGAACGTAAATTTATTAAAGAGTATAGTCAAGTAAATATTAATATAATCGTTATCTTAGTGAAATAAATAAATTTTAGGTTATGGAGCCTATGAAAAAAGCTCTAAAAATCCTTGAAGGGGAGCTTCATATGGACATGGGTTTCCTATGTCCAACCATTTCTAAACTTATTTCAAAATTAAACGAATTAACAGATTTAGAGTTTTGCCAACCTCTTGTAAAGTCTCTTATAAGCGGTATTAATAAAAGGTTTATAATAAAAAATAAATTATATCTATTTAAATAACTTTATTGCAGATTTTCAAATATTTATAATGATGATAATATCATTGCAGCGATTGTCCATCCTGCATTCAAATTGAATTGGGAATGGATAAAAAATCCAAAAAATATGGAACTAAAAGGCAGATTATTTAATTTTTTAAGGAAACAAATACCCGACGGAAAAATAGCTACTACTAGTTCACTGGAACCTTGCAATGATTTGGAAGATTTCTTTGGATTCCATGAAATTGATCACCATGATGATAATATATTGGATAGATATTTTTTAAATAATGATAGCAAAATTACTATTTTTGAACAATTCCCTGAATTAAAAAATATTTATATAAAATACAATACCCCGCTTCCCTCTAGTGCTCCTGTGGAGCGCCTATTTAGTATTGCAAAACAGGTCTTAGGGGAGAGGCGTGGGTGTTTGTTAGATTCTAATTTAGAAAATTTATTACTTTTAAAAGCTAATAAAAGATTATAAATATTATGATATATCATATAATATAAATAAAACGTTTTGATAAAAAAATATGATTTTGTTTCGTGTACCTTCTAAAAAAATGAAAATCAAAGGAGCGGTTATGGAGCGACACTCCATTAGTTGGAGGAGCGCTCCTTTTATTATGTAGTAGCGGGAGCGGGAGCTCGCTCCTTTTGAGAAGGTAGGAGCGGTAGCGGGAGCTCGCTACTTTTAAAAAGGAGCGTTAACAACTCTGCCTCCAAGTATTATATGTTCGCAATCAATTGCTACATCAAAAATCATAAATTGGGGTTTGCCCTATCGTAAACCGCAAAATTAAGATTAAAAAAAAATTAGAAGAAATGAAACCTGGGAATATTTGAATTTCTCCAGTTTGTCCCTCTGTTTAAGAAAACAAACTAACAAACTACGCATTAACTTTATACAATTCTGTTCAAGTTCGTAGGTTTTGGCCTTTTCCTCATCCTTATCGGCCACTTTCTTGTAAGCTAAAGCAAGACTCCAAATTGCCAGAACGGCGAAACAGTTGTCTCTAACCCATGCGTCCTGGGTATTGGGGATGGATGGTATAAGGCTTGTTATAGGGTCCTTTTTAAAAATTAAATATGATACAAATTGATATTTTATTTGGTAGAAAAAAAAGAGAGAGAAAAAAAGTTCGAGAATTTGGAATCGGAAATCAAAAGAAATTTAAATTATGAGCTTAGATTACTAAAAAAAGAAAGGAAAAAGTTTGCCTATAATTAAATATGTATCGAATATAGTGTAAAAAGTATACCCCAATTTCTAAGTGACCTCGTGATTGAAAGAAATTCTAAAAATTCGATCGTAATAAGAAGTGAAAAATTTAATTGGCAGTTAAAAAAATTTTTTAAATCAGAGGTTTTAGAGTGGGCGATATTTTTTTAAATTTTGTTTTTCAGGGTATGATGGACGTGAAAAAATAATAATAAATTGTGCGCCTATATATAATGTGGTAAATTTATTCCAGAATAAGAACTAATCTGGATTTTTCTCATGGTGATTCGGAATCTTTTAATTTTAAACCAGTTATGGTAAATATTTTCTAAGCATAGAATACGGTAATATAAAAAAAAACCCGAAAATAATATCACTCCTTAAAAATTTCAAATAAAAATACTAGTTTTTTTTTAAAAATCAAATATGACGCTTATAAATAACACTTTTTGAAATTCTCACATGTAATAGAATTTCTTCTATTAAATCTTCTTCAAATCAAAAATCAAAGAGTGGTGCGGAATTATTAGGGATACTTTATCATAATAATATATTGGGCTTGGGTAATGTAAGAGGGGGGAAGAGCGTGTTCCCGATTTTAGGCCTATTCTACCCCAAATTTCATACTGCCCCCCCCACCCCCCAATATTTTAAGAATGTAACTGGAGAGAAATAATTGTTGTTCAAACCACTAGCAGTTTAAAAAAAAACAATATATACATGTCTATTGAAATATCTAATAGCGCCAACGCACCTCATATTATAATGGGGAGGGTGAAAATGTAAATGTAGTTAATTTGGTGGAAGAATGAAATGATCAAGATGACAAGATTGAGAATATGAAATATGAGCCTGAGCCTGCAAAAACAAAATGGATATATTAGATTTTTAAGTTATTCTTATTGTAAATATTTTACAACTGATTTAAAACAGGTAAATCACAAAGGCCAACATCTAGTGGTGTTTTTGTGGCATGATGGAAGGCTTAGCATTTGTTTCCTTTCGTGATATGGGGAAGGCAATGACATTCCTGAGATCGGTTACTCCAAGCAATAGTAAAGATATTCCTGATTATTTCGATAAAATTATATAAATGGAGTAAGGTTACAGAAGCAATTCTCAGTCCCAGACACGTCGAATTGAGCCTCGATTTAGTCCGGAAATTTGTATGTAAATCAGAGCATTAATCTGACGAAGAAAGCACGAATAATCAATGCGGAGGATAGAATCATCGTTTTTCGAATCTGGTTGGAAATAAACACTCATCAATCTGGGTGTTGATTTAAAAAATTAAATGCGAGGTGGTTACCGATGAAACCAAACTTGAACGATGGCGTGTAGGTGACACCGAAAACAAAATTGCAAACTTATAATACTCAGATTCGAAGAAACTTGCGAGGAATAGCGTGATAGGGTGCTAAGCCTTATAGATTTTATAAGAGCGATTTCTTTTAATATTCGAATTTGTATATACTTAATGATGATTTATTAATAAAATAAATATATCTTATTACAAAATTTAGTCTACTTAATATCGTAATTGTAGATGGATATTGTATTTTTTATTATAATAAATAATTTTTACAAAAATAAGAAATACGTGAGTTATTTTATTGGGGTATTTTTTTCCCATTTACCACTTTGAACATCTAAATTTTATCTTGTTATGGAGAGTATATGAGTAACCTTTAAATATTTAGCATATTAATAAATTATATTTAATATTTTTCTAATTATGAGTGTTCCTTTATAATGCAAAAAAATATGCCTTTATTATTAAAACTTAAGTAAATTTTATAAACATGAAAAAAAAATTCCAGGGGTTCTTTGTTCTGGGCGTTTTTTCCCGGGATCCATAGAATACCTACCCTATTAATAGTTATATATTATGTTTTTTTTTCCAAAATTTATAATATAAATCGTAAGTAATTGGATTTAAAAAAATTAAATTGTTTTTGAATATTTAAAAAAATTGATTAAATATTTATTTTCAAATTCAAAAATTGTTATATACCGTTTTTTGGGGACTCAAAAATATAAAACTTTTTTAAAAAAAAACAATCTGTAGTTAAATATAGATTCAAAATTAGTCAGACTTGATATTTCAGAATCGTTTCCGAAAGCAATCTTTCGTAATATTCTAATTTAGCCCTGGGCTTGCAAAAATTTGGCTCCATTCAAATCAAGAGCACTGCAATGCAAGATTATTTCATAGTTTGTTGACTATCTATTTAATTATAAATAAACATAAATAAAAAATTAAACAATTATGGCCATTTATATTATTGGTGATAAGGTGAATCTAACATCCAATATTTGAGAAGTATATCGATTAAATAATTGTAAATTTTCTCAAGCGCAAGATATCTGCTTACATTATATATTATTCAATTCCGTGTAATTCTATTTAAACTTTATTGTTATATCAACAAATATTTTAAAGCATAAGTCAATGGTGTTATTAGTCATTACAATCTCAAGGGGTTCAATTTTTTTTAAAAAAGGAAAAAATTATCTCCTCTTATTTTAGAATTTTTTTTAAGAGAAATATTTTAAAAATTATCCTTTTTTCTAAAAATTTCAGGGGCTCTTCAAATGTTTCAAGGAGACTTGATTGCGCATTATCTTATTATGTTTTTGTGTGCCTTTCTTTAAATTTATTATAAAACCGGAAAAACCCTAAAATTTTAGGCAACTGAACCGTAACGCCGAACAGGGTTTTTTTGCATTACGATTTGGGTATCATTTAAATATAGTTAGGATGAAAATTACACTTTGTTATAAAACTTATATTTTCATTTTTCTTCTAAAAAAAATATATATGGCTCCCTGTACCATTTTTTATATTTAAAAGTCAGTCCTCAAAAAACTTTTGAAGATTATTTTTTAAACTTTGATTTTATCTATTAAAATATATTAAATTCAACAGAATTTCACTCTCGTTTATAAAAAAAATGGCTATAATCAAATAAATTTTTTAAATATAAAAAAACCTAAGAAATAAAGGGCGACTTTTTAAAAATTTTTCATTCATTTAGCACGTTGATCTATGGACCTGCCCTGATAAGAACTCATCTGATTTATGCAAGGCCTTTACTCACATATGGTGCTGGTTTTTTATAGCAAGTAAGCTGACAAAACCTAGTTACTCAGATTTATCAGATGATTTTTATATTTTTTAATAACAGACATATTAATTCATTCATTATCTTGGCAGATAAACAAATTTTTTAAATTGATAATTTATACTAGGTTAAATATTAAATTATTCATAATGATGAAATGGCAGAATTTGATCAAGAGTTATGGTAGGATTTGAGAATTCAAAGATTGGAATGGAGGCCAGAGAGATGGGGGCTAGGCTAGACAGAATTGTAGAAAGAATTCTAGTTAAAGAAAAGATTTTCTAACTCAGACTATCCTTAAAAATTACTAAAATAAAAATATTTTCGATTTCTTTCTATGCCAAACAAAAGTAACTCAGCTCAAAAGATGGGCTTATTTGATAATATTTTGTTTTATATTAAAGTCAACTTTTAATTAAACCAGAACCCTAGAAATAAGGAAAAATCTGGGAACATTAACTTATTTTTAAATTTATATAAATCAACCTGAAAAATTCATTTGCTATATTTGGTTTAAATGAAAAGATCTTATATTTGGGATAAAATCTGAATTTAGCAAGTGGCGATAGTACATATTAGATATTTAAATGACAAAAGTCTGATGTTAGCTAATTTTCCCTCAAAAGTATAATGCCAAATGTTAGAAAAGGTTATTTAACTCATATATTTAATTCAACATTAACACATGTATTAAAATAATTCTTCCAAGGATATACTATACTGACACCAGTTGCCTGTAACATGAGTTATAAGATTATACATGTGTGTCTTCATTCCCTACAAATATGAAATTTAATCTTCAAATTTTGACAAATAGTTTTTTTTAAATAATTACTTTTAAAAGGCATAAGTCTCAATACTAAACACCTTATATAGCAATTTTTTTTATATAGACAAAAAATTCAAATTTTTAGAAAAATTTTGGTTTCTTTTAAGGAACACATTTAACCCTTGTAAAGTTTTTCATTTTGTCTTAATATTGCTATATTTTATATTTATGTCTATACATTTCAAATATTTTAGACAATCTTATTCTAAATATTTTAATAGAAGAATTAACATATAAAAACACCTGTACTGAAGAAAACTTTTAAGACTTAAATTAATAACAATCAATTTAAGCTTTACTAGAACATAGGAAAGGTTTAAAAGTTTATCCTGTTTAAATAGAGAATGACATCATAACAATTGGATCAAAATTAATATAAAATTTTAATAAAAAATTTGAAAATTTTTGATGAAATTATATATATATATTTTTTTTTGTATCGTATATTTTCTAAAATTTTAAATTATCCATTATTTAAGATCAATAGCTTATATTTATTTATCTTTTATTCATCATTTAATGATATTATATTCATTTTTGGGGAAGAAAGGGGTAATCTAGGGGCAACTTGAAATGAAACCCTAAAAATAGTAAATTTTTATAGAGAAAAGGTCTTCTTTTCGTTTCATTTTTAAGCTGTTTATATAATATCCCAAGACCATATAAAACCCTCTCCCCCTCATCAATGCTGGAACTCAGGCAACTTGAGTTGATTATAAAAGATATTAAAAAGGATACCCCCATCCCCCTAAATTTTAAAACTCTTCACCTTCGTGCTACAGGGCTTATATATATCGTATAGTTAGTTAGCTTAGCGTTACCATGAATCATGAATCAGGTGGAAAATATGAATGAATAATGTGCCCCAAATTTAGTTATTTATTTTATAGTTGATCTAAAACCCATCCTCTGAAAACTTACACGAAATATGCGAGGCTTTTAATAGCAATATCATGCTGGTTTTTTTTGCAATCAAGCTGACAGAAATCAATTGCCCAGACAATATTCAAATAGATGGGAGGGAACTTAAAATATTTTCTAATTGCATATAAATTAAATTTGATATCATATAATATAAAAATCTTACCTTTTTAAAATTAAAATATTTAGACATACAAAAGAATGCTTCTTTTTAATTTCTGATATGGAATTCCATTTTACAGGTTACATTACATTTCTTAGAAAATATTGCCTATCTAGAAAAAACACATTAAAAAATTTTTTCCCTGTTTATTAGTCGTATAAATAAACATATCCTCAAGTGTATCTAATAATATTTTTTTGTTCATTTAAAGTAATCAATATACTGGAATTTATGAATATACGAGATTTTGGCGAAAATCAGGCAATTCCAATTTCAGGATCTTAAAGTAATAAAGATTACACCATATACAATTATAAAGATATAATTATATGAATTGTTAGTTTAAAATAAAAGCATTGTATATAGGAATTAGACTATGACGAGGATGGTAAAGAAAAGTGTGGGACGGAATAATTATATAATCATTACTATAAAAATAAATGTAATAATCAATTTTAATAATGCATTATCGTAATCGTGTTCGCATTTTCACTCTCCAACTTAACCATATTGTAATAAATTAATAAATGATTATTTATGTATATTGTATATTAAAAATAGAATCGAACATTCGAAAAATAATAAATAAAATTTGATATCAAAAATAAATTGAAATATAAATCAGTGGTCGTATTGTTTATAATTAGTAGTTGGTATTACTACAAATGGCGACGATAAATGGAGAAAATAATTCCTTAAATGGAGATAATAATTCCTTAAATGGAGAAAATAATTCCTTAAATGGAGATTCAAAAAAAATAGCGGATTTATCTACGATTAAATTTGATAAATTCGAGTTGGATACTTCTATTCACAGATATTTTTCTCAATGGGAAGCCAGTTTTCGGTTAAAAAACGTAAGCCCATCTGAATGTCAATATAAAGATATATTTTTAACATTTTTTGGCAATAAGAATATTGAGTTGGTGGACCGTTTTTGTTATCCTGATTAGATCGAAACTTTATCTTTTAAGGAAATTAAGTCAATATGTTTTAAACTATTTAAACCGACGTCAACAGCTTTTGCTTCTAGATTTGATTTTGTTAGATTACGGAGAACAACTGAAACCATAACTGAATTTGCAGATAAAATTAGAAAAATTGGCAAGCGTTGTCATTATCTTAATGATATTGACGAGCGTTTACGTGATCAGTTTATGGTTGGCATGGAAATACCGGGATTGGAAAGAGATCTTAGAGCTTTGTATCCCGACGGTCTTGATAGAGATAATAATGTACTGACTTTTCAATTTATTCTTGATCTGGCATTAGCTTCTGAGCGAGCAGATAAAGAAATGGCAAATAAAAATATGCCAGTTGTTAATAAGATAAATGTTAATAACAAAAGAAATGATAATGATAATAATTATAAACATCCAATAAAAACGACGACTACAATTGATAAAGGCTATAATAAAGTCAAGTATAATAATACATTTGATAAAGAGAATAATAACTACAATAATAATAATGATAAAGATTATAATAAACTTAAATGTTATAAATGTGGTTTTATTCATAACCGAGAAGTGAGATGTCCAGCTACAAATGCGGCATGTAATAAATGTAAAAAAATTGGTCATTTTGCAGTTTGCTGTAAATCAAAGAATTTAAATTATATAAGAGTGTCATCAAGTGATTCTATTCATAATATTTGGAAGATTCAACAAAATCGAGAGAATCGAGCAAAACTAACTGCAGAGATAAATGGGTTAGATGTTGAATTTGATTTTGACACTGGTGCACAAGCGTCATTGATAGGAATTGATATATGGACAAGTATTGGGCGACCAAAAATTAGGCCAACCAGTCCATTGACTGCATATGGTGATCATCCGTTAGACGTCAAGGGCGAGACCCAAGTCAATGTTAGAATTGGATCACAGACAAGGACTCTACCAGTGGTAATAATGAATACAACTGGGGTGCCTCTTTTCGGATTACCATGGATTATAGCATTCAATTTAGAAATGCCTCGTCAGGTTATGATTAAACAAGTACGCAATTTGGTCAACAATATTGAAAAAGAAAAATGTTGCATAACACTAGATCCTAGAATTCGAGATTTGATTAATAAACACCAAGAAATTTCGGAAGGGAATCAAGATTCTAAACATGCTTTGGATATTCGAAGTATTAATTTAGATGATATGCAATTGTCAGAAAATATTCTACGAAAAGAGTCGAAGCAAGATTTAATATTAAAAAAAGTAGCAATACATATTCAGCAAAGTTGGCGAAACTTTGATCGTCATAAAGATAAAGAAATAGTTAATTTTTATAATCGACGGGAAGAGCTTTCTGTCAATCGTGATATTATAGAATGGAATGGGAGATTGGTTATTCCTAATAAATTAAGAAATGCAGTGTTAGGAATGATTCACTGGGGACATCCTGGGGAAAATGTAATGAAATCTATTTTTAGATTGTATTGTTGGTGGCCCAGATGTGATGTTGATATAGAAAATTTTATCAAAATATGTTCTGGATGCCAGAAAAATAGACCATGGTTAGAAGTTGATCTAATGCAAAATACCTCTGCTGATGCTATGATAAAACGACTAAAAAAATGGTTTGCTAGGTTTGGAATACCCAAGTACATTGTGTCAGACAATGGACCACAATTCTTATCTGGGGAATTTCGTAGGTATTGTGATTTAAATAACATACGTCATATACGTTCAGCACCCTATCATCCAAAAACTAACGGATTAGCTGAACGTACAGTACGAACTTTGAAAGGTCGGTATTATGCAACGAGAGATTCAATTAGCGATCCCGAAGAAGCTATGACACAGGTTTTAACAACCTACCGATTGGGAGAGCATAGTTCCACAGGGAGATCTCCTGCTAAAATTATGTTTGGGAGGCAATTGAAAACAAGTCTGGATTGGATCCGACCAAATGCCGAACACGAAATAGTAAGGGCTAATGATAAACAAAGCCTTCATCATGATTTACATTCAAAGGAAAGAGAATTTGAAATCTCACAACCTATATGGTTAAATAATGAAAATACCAATGGTTGGAGAGAGGGAGTAATTAAAGAAAGAATAGGACTTTATTCTTATATTGTTGAATCTTCCGGGAAAACATTACGGAAGCATGCAGATCAGTTAAGAAATCGTTTAGTTATCCCAAATCATGAAAGTTCTTTGGAAGTTACAGAAATGGTTGTGCCAGTGAATGAAGCAAATACAAACACAAATACAAATACCACATTACGTTGCTCATCAAGAAACCGTAAACCTACAAAGAGGTTTATTGAAGAAATCTAACTTTAAATTTTTGAAGGAAATGTAATAAATTAATAAATGATTATTTATGTATATTGTATATTAAAAATAGAATCGAACATTCGAAAAATAATAAATAAAATTTGATATCAAAAATAAATTGAAATATAAATCAGTGGTCGTATTGTTTATAATTAGTAGTTGGTATTACTACACATATGATTTATAAATTAAATCTGTCATTATTTATTTAAAAATAAATTAGATATTAAGGAAATTTTTTCCATTTAAACTTAAACTCCTCTGAAAATCCTATTGACAGAATTAAAAATCTGGAGTGAAGGGGCATGCAACGCCTATTTGAGTAAGAAAATCAAGGCAATTTAGTAACCTCAGTATCTATCCCACAGAAGGATTTTCGTCTTATTTAACTATTTTTAATCCGTTGTCTTAAAGCAACATCACATATTTTTGTTCGGTACATCGCCTATAAATAAAAATTAAAATTTTAATGGAAATACATGATACTTTAAATTTATTATCATCAAATGATGAACACTCTCGTACTATAAGCTTTGAAAAATTGGCAGGAATACTATCTCAAATTGACCTAAGTATTATTTAGAGTTTTTTTAAATGTAATTTAATTCATTAATTTTCAGAATATGATGAAAAGGATTATTTTAAAATCTGGAAAGCCCTTTTTTTTCATTTGTGGATGACCGATAAAATGATTAATCAAGTATTCACATTTATTATTATTAATTAATAGGCATAATTTTATAGGAAAATGTTGCATCAGATATATCACAGATACTTTTAGATTTTCATGAAACTAGCAACTCCTTTTTATTTTTTGACACATTTTTACAAACCATCGATAGGGAGTATAAAGTTATAGACGCCTATAGAATTGATAAATTTTTATTGGTAAAGCATTATATATAAATTATGATCATACTTGAAGCCAATTTATATTTTGCTTGATATTTAATGGCAAATATGAATTGAATTATTATATAAAGTTATGTTGATTCTTGATTATTATTGAATAAATAATAAAATGAATATAAATATAATTCATATAAGCAAAGTTAAATATCTTTAAAATAATGGGGGCATGGCACAAGATAATCATGAAATTGAAGAGGAGTAGGTACAGGTTTGCTAATGTTATTTGTATTTATTTAATTTGTTTAAATTTCTTTTATGTTAATTTGATAGAAGGTTATATGATCCATAGGCTTGGGGTGTGGGAGGGGGGGCATTAGAAGTGTCAGGTTTAACTGCTCAATCTATTACGATAAAATAACTTCAAGCTATGTAAAAAAAAATTGAATTTTTAAACAACTTCCTGTTTTTGAATTTCTTGGTTTCATATTATTCAAAAAATAACTTTGATTTTTATATAAGCATTATTAAACTATTATATTAAGATATAAAATCAATTTTACCCATTATGGTTTTAAAGATACCAAAACAAAGTAATTGAATGAAACTTACAACATCAATATCATTGCTGTAAATAAAAATTATGTTTTATCATTACTTACTCTGCAAAAAAAGAATGAACACCTTTTAAATTAAATATTATATAAAAAGATTTTTATTCTATAATATAATATTTTTTAAAAAAGCAAATATGACATCTAAAAAAATTTTTCATTTTTCAGCAATGCCTTATAAATTTAATTAATCACTGATAAGATAATTTTTCTATTTATGGTATTGAAATGTAAGCAAGCATGATTTATATACAAATATTATTCATCTATTATTCTAAAAAAAATATCCGATAAGTTAACAAGGAAAATGATATATCAATCTTTCAAGCTATTGGCAAATAATGACTGGGAAGGAGCCTATTGCAAACCATTTTTTGATATTATAACAAAATCTGTTTTGACAAAATCTCAAAACGTAACAGATACTCCCCACAATATTTCTTTTGTTTTTCATATCATTGACATTTATTTACCTGAACTTCTTCAAGTTGGGCGTTCTTCGGTATTATATTTACATTTTATATTAATTTTTTTTAATTGGGAAAATTATAATATTATTCATTTAAAATATCTTATTTAAAAAATTGATTCTCTTTTTTAAAAAATATAATTTTTAGATTACTTGTTCAAAGGCTCTCAAAATGCTCACACCTTTCTTCCACATCATGTCTATCGAAAAAAGGTAATAAATTTGAAATCAAAATGGGGTAATTATCTCCTTTTTAAAAACAATAAAACCACAATCAAATAATTTAATAATTAAATTTGATTTTTATTTCATAACGCTAAATTGTTTCCATCAAAACTTGCCATTTTTTTTTGCAAATAAAATGAAGTTGTATTTTTTTCAAGAAAAATTGAAAATTAAACAAACATATTTTTATTATTTATTGATTTAAAGTCGACAGATCATTGATCGGATAAATTTAAATATATTCGAATACATTATGACACAATCAGAAGTTGAACAGAAATTATGCCAAGAAGCGGAAGGGGAGATAAATTTGGATCTGCCTTATTTTCACAACAAACATTCAAAAAAAGAATTTCGTGCTGATAATACATATATATTTGTAATTATGAAATTTTTATTTTATAATTATTTTGCTTTTTTTAAAAAACAGATTAATTATGATGAAATTGCTAAAATTTTGTATCAACATGGCTCCGATAAAAAATGTCCTCCAAAAAACAGAAAAATTATATACGATTTAACTCAAAAGTAATTTTTTATTTATAAAATAATTTTATTTTTTTTCTTAGATATTTTTTTTTACAAGTTATATAATTTACATCAACTAAAATTTTTATAGGTTTGAAAAGCTTGCCAGAGGAGAGTATCCATTGATAGAAGAATACAAAGTTCAAAATTCATTGAAAAGAGCTCATAAGAAAAGTGCTTTTTTAAAATTGATTACGTCAGATGAATCTGGAATAAATAAAAAAAGGCAAAAACTTTCCAAAAATAAAAAGATCAAAACATGAAATGAAATTGGTTTACGCATGTGTTCATAATTTTATATAATATGAGAAATAAAGTGAGTCTTTTTATTTGTTTGAATCGGTATTATATAATACATTTTGAGAAAATAAATACATAATTTTTTATAAAAATTTAAACGATATTCGTCATATTTATCTCACTCCACACTTATAAGATATCGCCTAATGACAAATAATAATATTGATAAAACAATTGTTACGCCATAAATGTTGAATATAATAAATATTGCGGAATGAGACGATCGGCTCTAATATTTTAATCCCTTGAGAATTGTAGCTCCGTGAAGTTGGCATAAAGATTAGAAGCACTAACGATGAATCATATGCAATAGTGCTTCATTAGTGCTTCAAACCATTTTGTAGCCAAAGTTATAGAAAAAAAACTTTGACCAACTTCACTCTTAAGAGCCTATTGAAAGCACTAACGATGAAACATATATCATTCTTTAGTGCTTTGTTAGCAGAGGTTAGTGTTTCAATCACAATAACCTACATTAAGAATAAAAAGTTATTTGCAAATAAAAAACAAAAATAAATAATAATTGGCTGTTTTTCAAAACAAAAACTATAATAGTAATAAACATCTAGTTTTCGCTATTATTTTGTGCTTATTTAGTAAATTTTAATTCCTTAATTTGGTTAACCGCCATATAAAAAAAGTTTCTAAAGAAAAATTATGACATCATGATTTAGGCGAGAAGTTGGTTGAACGATTTGAAGTGCTAACGATGAAACTTATATCATACTCTAGTGCTTCGTTAGTAAAGGATAATGCTTAAACCAGTTTAGTAGCCCCTATTAAAATAAAAAAGTTATTAAAATTAAAATAAACAATAAATGGCGGCTTGCCAAAACAAAAACTATAGTGTTATTTAACATCCAGTTTTCGCCATTATTTAATGCTTATTTAGTAATTTAAAATTGCGTAACTGATTTGGTTAACTGCTTTATAGCAAAAAAGTTATGACGTTACGATTTAGGCGCGAAGTTGGCCTAACGATTGGAAGCACTAATGATGAAACTTGTATCATTCTTTAGTGCTTCATTCAGTTTAGTAGCCAAATTTAAAATAAAAAAGTTATTAATAAAATAAACTATATCAATAACAAGCATCTTTTCAGCATTAATTAAGTGCTTAATTAGTAAAATTTAAATTCCGTAATAAATTTGGTTAAAAACCCTATAAAAAGTCAAAGTAATTAAAAAATGCATATTGTCCTTTTGCACTAAGCCTATCAATTGTTTCCAAATAACTACCATATTTGAGTACTATGAAATGTTTCAGAAGCCAAGATATATTAATGCCCAAAATACATCAAGAATAGTTATGACATAGTCACAAAGATTATTCCCACTACTCCCTAAATGGGTCCATTGAACCCTATTATAAGTGTATTATTTATATAATTTTTATCGGTTTTTATTATTTTATTGTAACAACTTCATTTTTTCTCCAACATTATTTTAATTCATATTGTTCCTTTTACATAGTTTTATTTTATTCGGAAAAATTATGCTATAAATATATCTATCATATATTTGAGTTATATATCACTATAATTAAGCAAGAATTCTGATAGTTACCCTGATTCAATAGTGTGTGTAGTGTCATATCAGTCTTTCAAATTTTATTACACCTTTCTAGACGCTTAAGAAAATTTTAGAGAACCCATATTAAATTAATTATATTTCTATAGATGAAATGAACAATTATATCCAAGCTCCTCTCCAGAAAATATCAAAAGAACTAAAAATATTATTAATAAAAATACTAATCCATTTCCATTTTTTGGTCGAAAATATAATTCTCAAGTGTGTTCTCTTTTTAATCGAAACCTCGATAATATATATAGATATAGATTGTGGAATAAGAGTGATATATTTTTCTTCGAATATTATTACTAGAATATTTAGATGGAGGAATAAAGAAAAAAAATATATGAAATTGAACGAATAAAAGAGAAAATAGGCATATAATTAATAAAACATTCTATATAACAAATTATAAACAAATAATAATATAATAGGATTGTAATTTGTAACATTGTTATGGCTAAATTATAGATATTATATTTTTTAATACATATAATGCAATATAATTTTATTATGTTGTATAGGATAAAATTCACAATTTCTGTTGTCACAAATGCCATATTTTATATAGGGATCAGTTCAAAACCATTTGATTTGATAAGCCCCCAAGATAAAATCATTTTTCAACCATATAATCATATATTATTCATTTGATATTTTAAAATATACCTTATTTTATAGAAATAGGGAACGACAGCAAATACCCTATAAATAATATATGATCGGTATAAATATCGAATATCTTATAATGAGAGGTAAGTTAGTTTGATAATTCCAATGAAACATTCAACTTCCACTATAAATGAAATTCTAAATATTTTTTAATGCATAGGCATATTCAAGGGCTAAATTGACTATGTAACAAAATGTTGAAAAATATTAGTGGTATAACTTTATTTTTAATGATATTCTATATTCTGATAACTAATTATAACAGTACTAGAAGCTAACCCGTCAAGAATAAGGGGCGAATTGACTTTTTGCCTACAATTTTTTACCTTTTTATTTATAATTTAAAGCCAAATAAAGTTATTATTGTTAAATGAGGGTTTTTCATACCTTATTTACCCCATTAACTTCTCACATTATCTGAATACCATAGATCCCACTAGTCAGCATAGCTGTTCACTCCCCATCGCGTCAAGGTGGGAGTTTGAAATTATGGAAGCAAAGTGGATAAAAAAAGATTTACTAAAAAAAGAAAGAAATATAAAAAAAAGAGACAAAGATATAGGAGAACTTTAAAAAATTTAATAATTGTTTATGCTTTAGAAATTGATGCTTATATATTTTCAAGCCACTAGTATTTGTAGACACATTAATATATCTTCATGGGGATTTATAATTGCCAAATCATATTAAAACACAGGCACATGCTGATTCGTACATCAATTTTTGTTTAAATTCAGTAATCATTATCAAAAAACAGATACATTATCGATTTAGGTATCAAATTTTTTATTAAATTGAGGAATCATAGCGAATCTTTTTAACCAAATTGATGAATCATAGCTAATCAATATAAAAATACATTTCTGATTCACTCATCAAATATTATAATCCTTTTTCGAAAATTTTTCTTTCTTTATTTACATTGTATATAACAATGGCATATCACATCTTCTTGGATGCCATTTCTTTTGCATACCATGGATTAACTTCCCAAGTTCCATCTATTCTTTTAATTTCCTATCCCGTGGACATGGCAGGTGGTATAAAAATATTTCCTTATCTTAAAAAATATGTCAACAGAAAGATTTATAAATAACGGGAAATCATTTAATTTAAACATTTCAAGATTCTGTTGTTTTAATGATGATTTGTTCATGAAATTTGTATTAATGCACAAGATTTAAACAATTAAATATTGATGAAATTATAAAACCTTTCGCTTTCTATTCCCCTAATTTATCTAAATTATTAATTTAAAAATAATATTTATAAAATATATATTTTTTGCATTTTATTTATATTATATATTAAAAATTGATGCAATAAAAATTATTTTTGAAATTTATGGGTGTCATAAAATAATTATCATTTTTTAGGGGGGGGGGGGGTACTTTTCAAGGGGGTACATTACAGGGGGGTATTCTGCTTCATTCGTTCAGAAAGTGTAGGGGCCATGCCAGGTATAATGAAGTTTCATCTGACTGGTGATGATTTTCTCAATGATATGATTCCAGCTAAATCTTAGCTTTGCTAAATCATCGTCGCATTGATATATTTTATTCCATTCACCGATTAAAATAAACTAGTTCAAACTGTTCTTTTCCTATTTTTTCGTCTTTTAATATATCTTCCCCTGCCAACAAGTAATCATTAAATTCATTTTTGGAAACTTTTCTTACCAAATAATATAACATTTATTCAATATAACATAAGAAAGAATAGAATATTAAAAAATACTACTTACCATTATCACATTTATTTCTAGAATATCTCAACAACTATTTTTATTGAAACGAATAATATAAGACTTCGGTGATATTAATCACCTATTTTTATCCATGTATCAGCTAATGCTCGATTAATATCCTTTATTATATCATTTTGAAAGTTAGAAGCGTCTTATTTATAAGTTCAACTGGTACAGCTGCTAATCTAGGCATCGTAGTTTTGTTTGATTTACTAATTATAAGTACATATATTCAAAATGAGACAAATAAGTTGCATTTAAAAAAATGTAAAATAAGAATTAAAGACCGGAGATGTTAACCAATATATTGTTTTATTAAATTTAAAAACTGATAAGGGGACCGAGGAAGATTGAAACACTTTTCGTTCAAACCTGTATAAATCAATAATATGAAACTAATTTAAATAAATAAAACATATTGGGAAATAAGGTTGGCAAACCGGTCTATTGGGTCAAATACCTAACCCGGTTCTGAATCTTCAAAGTATAGGATATTTTAAATAGTTATTATATATTTATAGAAACTATTTTTTAAAAATTATCATTTAAAATTTGTTTAGCCCAATGCTAATGTACTTTAAGCACGCTTACCAACAATAAGTGATAATTGGTACACAAAATAAAAGTCTAAATATAAAATTTTATTTTTTTTGATATTTAATTATAGGCTTTAAATATTCATGATATGCATAAGTAAGTTGAATTTAGGGATTTTAAATATTTTTGTAAAAATTATTCTATTTTAGATGGATTTATTTTTATTATAACTTGTTTTAATCAAAAATATATAAATGCAATAATTAATAGGACCAACCAACCTTTACCAATTATCACCATTTTTAATGTTATATATGCCATTTAAAAGCGTATTAATTTATGATTTATAAATCCGAAAAATTATTAGCTTAAAAAATTGGGTTTAATCTTTTTTTAAATCTATTTATAAAGATTTTAAAACTTTATTTATAAATCTAAACGATAAAGTTTTTCGGTATAGTTAAGCATATTTTCCTCTGTAAAAATATAATTGTTAAAAACTTTTTACAATTTTTAGCCAATAATGTATTACATAAATATTTTTATTGGGTATATATTTCTATTCGTAAGCAATAATAGTTTAGATTATAAATGGGGTGGATGATGTTTTCCTCTACCCAACGTGCTCAGCTTTCTGCTTATTGAAATTTATATAAAAAAATATTGAATAAAAATCATAATTTATAGTGTTATTACATTATGGATTGGTAAATTTATAACTCAACTCGACTGAAAACCGATTTAGAAAAATAAATAATATGTCGAAATATTTAGGCCAAAAAAGCATATTACTTATAGTTAGGATGGAAATAATGTAACAGAATAATTTTTATAGGATAGGATAAGAATATAACAAATTTTTTTATGACAAAAAATAGGGTGTTTATTGCGGAATTTAAATATAACTAAAAATAAAGGCAAAACAAGATGTTTGTAGCTGATCTAGTTCTGTTTTGGTGTGCCGGTATTTTTTTTTATTTAGTTAATAACTATATAAATTTTTGCTATTAAACTGATTATAGCACTAACCTCTACTAACGAAGCACGAAAGAATGATATAAACTTTATCGTTAATGCCTCCAAAATTTTGCTGGCCAAAATATTATCTTGAAACTATTTTCAGCTTATAATTATTTTTTAATTGGTCGGTTAGCTAAATTACGGAATTTGTATTTATTAATTAAGCACTAAATAATAGCGTAAACCGGACGTTTAGTACTTCATTTTTTGTTAACCGTCATTTGTTTTTTTTTCTTTAATAACTTTTTTTATTTTAATTGGTGATACTAAACTTATATGGCATTAACCTCTACTAAATGAACACTAAAGATTAATAAATGTTTCATCGTTAGTGCTTTCATAATTTTGCTGGTCAAAATTAACCTTGAAATATTAATTTAAGTTATAGCATTTTTTTATAAAGCGGTTTAAATTAATTAAGGAATTTTAATTTACTAATTATTCAATAAATAATAGTGAAAATAGGATGTTTTTAGTTTCTCTAATTTTTGTTTTGATGTGTCGCCATTTTTTTGTTTATAACTTTATTACTTTAACAGGGGCTACTAAACAGATTAAAGCACTAACCTCTACTAGAGAAGCACTAAATTTTTTCCGTGCCGATCCACAAATTTTCCACCGATCCGATATTACTAAAAAACAGATTCGATATTTATATTGATTTTTATTTACCAACTATCTTTGTTCAATGTAATAAATATATCAATATTTTCTACTTTAAAAAACCAACTAACTTTAATGAATTATTTTATTTTCACAATTTAATATTCTCATTTAATTTGCAATGTTTACGGGTGAATGTAGTATTGTTAAACAATTCCATTTAGCTGATTTTTAAAAAGAGCCAAATCAAAATTTTAACTAAAATATTATTACCTGTGCGAAATTTTGCCAATAGAAGTTTCTGATATCTGTGGAAAAAATTGACAAGCATGGATATTTTACTCTTGGCCAAAATTCTGAGTTAATCGTTTTTAAAATTGGAGAAATCGAGCCGTTTAGTAACACTAACTGAATGTAACTCGTGAGATATTCTAAAATACTTTTCTTTTTACAGGTAATATAATAAAAAATAGTGTAAAATTTTAGGCAATTTTTTTAAACATTACAACAAATAAATCGAATATTAGTTCCTTTCATAATTTATTATTATGAAATTATTTATAAAATAAAAAAAATTATGTGATTATATATACAATTATAAAATAACCACAAACGATAAAAAAAAGAAGATACGCATCCGATATTTTTTGAAAATGTTAAATATAGGTGCAGATCCGATATTAAATATCGGTATAGCCCTACATTAAAGAATGATATAAATTTATCGTTAGTGCCTCCATAGTTTTGCTGACCATTTGACCTAAAAACATTTATTTAGCGTATAACTAATTTTTCATATAGCGGCTAACCAAATTAATAAAGGAACTCAAATATACTAATTATGCACTAAATAATAGCGAAAACGGGTGTTTAATGGTACTATAGTTTTTGTTCTGGCAAGCCGCCATTTGTTGCTTATTTTTTTCTTAAATAACTTTTTTATTTTAATAGGGTCTACTAGACTGATTGAAGCATAACCTCTACGAACGAAGCACGAATAATATGTTTCATCGTTAGTGCTTCCAATCGTTCGACCAATTTCACGCCTAAAACGTGAAGTTATAATTTTCATTTAGCTTATAACTTTATTTTTATACGGCAGTTTAAAATAATATGAGAATTAAATATGGCGAAAATAAGATGTTCGTCCCTGCTCTAGTTTCTGTTTTGGTGTGCCGCCATCTTTTAGTTTATTTTGTTAATAACTTTTTTATTTTTACAGGGGCTACTAAACTGATTAAAACACTAACCTCCACTAACGATGCACTAACCTATACTACCGCAGCACTAAAAGAATGATATAAAATCGTTAGTACTTCCATAGTTTTGCTGGTTAAAATTTGACCTCAAAACATATATTTAGCGTATAACTATTTTTTCATATGGCGGTTTACCAAATTAATAACGAAATTCAAATTTATTAATTAAGCATTAAATAATGGCGAGGATGATAAATACTACTATAGTTTTTATTTTTGGCAAGTCGCCATTTGTTTATTTTTGTTTTTCTTTAATAACTTTTTTATTAAAATAGTGGCTACTAAACTGATTGAAACACTAACCTCTACTAACGAAGCACTAACAAATGATGTATGTTTAATCGTTAGTGTTTCAATCGACATTTAAGCGTGAGGTTTGTCAAAGTTTTTGTTTTTGCTTATAACTTTTTTTCCTTAACCTCGGAAAAACGGTTTAAAGTACTAACGAAGCACTAAAAAATGTCATATGATTCATCGTTAGTTCTTCCAATCGTTCGACAAACTTAACGGAGATGAAAAATGTTTATAATTTTTTCGGTCATTGCCTTATAACACTTTAGGTTTATATTTTTTTTAATGAAAATTATTTACAATCATTTAAATTAAATATAATAATGAGACAATTGCATTATAACGAATGTTCGATAAATTTCTCCTACATATCCTCAACCATCCATTTATACATTATTTCTTTGTTCGAGATTTGATTGGAAATTTTTTGGAAATATTTGTTTTCGAAGCCATTAGACCTATCCACCCCGTCCCATCTGTATCCTGGAGGAATATTAAATCGATTTTCTTTGTAATTGCCTTTAAATTTGCTAGGGTTACCTTTAGCTATCATATTGAATCAATGGTAAATATAATTGCAAAAAAAATGTTAGATATATTTTGCAGAATAAGTTCATTTTTTGATATTAATAAAAAGCTAATTTACATGCATATAAAATAACGTGTAATAACAATTTAATTTAATAAATATTTAAGCGAATTGTCATAAATTAATGAATAAATAAAAAGAAATTCTTGAACCTTAAATTTAAAAAAAAAGTTTGGGTTTTCAGCTAAATCTAAGGGTTCGAGTTCCCAGCTCTGATTTGAGGACCTAAATATATGATAAACCTTACCAGTTCTAAATCAGAATTTAATATAGTTCTAAATTTTTTAAACTACAACTGATATTCTATTTTATAAAAAATTAGATATATCTTAAAGTACAAAAATATTATGAATTGGGAAAAAGAAAAAACAACCTTAGCCTGAACTTGCTAGTTCGATAATTAAAATGTAAATATAACATAACACCCAATAAGAATTTTAATAAATGAAATTGTACAGACCTTCCTTTTCATTAAACTCTAACCATCAAAATAATTCTGACAAAAATAACACCATAATTTGATTCTAAAAAAACTTTTTTATTCTATATTAGAATTAGCTTAAGGAAGATGATCAAAATAAATGAATGGATTTATGATGAGGAACCTTTTATAATAGGAGTTTTAGCTTTAAATACTGATGCCAATGGATCATCTTCGTGTACTTTCTCCCTTAACATTTTGTCTAAATCTTTTTCATCTATATATCTTGTTAGGGGTTTATTATACAAAGTTTGAATGTCTTCTAATCCAGTTTTTTTCTCTTCTATTTGTTTAGCACTTAAATATATTGAATAATATGTTTAAAAAGAAAAGATTAGCATGACAATTAATATGGTTTACAACATTTTAGTGCTGGGAAACAAAAAACAATGAATTTTAAAAACAACAAAAAATTAAGATTTTTGGTTTTGAATTTTTATTTTTTTAAAAAAATGTAGAGTTTTTATCTAAATACTAGAATATAGAATCTAACTGTTGGGCCAATAATATTTTTTGAAACTTAAGTTAAAATAGGTGATTTTTTGAATAAATTAACTATAAACTATTTTAAAACCAAAATTGTTTTTTAATTTTCCCAGTCCTCACATATAATTAGCAAATTTTTATAATAAAGAATAACTAACTTATATAATTCCACTCTAATATACTTCCTCGAATTACTGCAAAACATTTTGCAGAAATATTAATTTTAAGCACCCTTAACCATAAATACCTGTGTTGTAAAGTAATGTCATTACTTTTTTACTTGCTTAAAAAGGTAAAGTAAGGCATTGCTTTTTTGAGTAACGGAAATGCAAAACGTTACTCGGTGCTTAAATTTATTCTTAAAAAAATATTTTTATTATATTTTTTAAATAACCGAGTTTTTAATTCAGGTCAACCACCAAAGATCTTTATTTTTATTTCATTTATTACTATTTATTGTTAAGTTTTATACAATCAAGATTGTTAATCTAATTAATAGAATGAATCAATAATTTAATATAAAAATATACTGATCCAAAAAACAAAAAAAAATTTACATCATTATTTTAAGAAAAATAATACAAATTTTAACAATTTAAGATTTTTAAATATTTTATTTAGGACAAAGCTCTATGTATGCAATCCTGAAGGTATCAAAATGTGCATAAATTTAAGTTCAGATTAAAATTGTTTTTTAAATTTATCAATTTTTTGTTACAAAATTCTATCCAGGTCTCTACAGCTCAATGTATGATTGTAGAAATATCTTCAATATCAATAAAAATCAGAGACCTGCAGGCCCGGCCCTAAGCCCGGGCCGTATTTTAAATTTTTTAAATATACCCGGGCTGGGCCTAAAAAATTTTTTTTTAAACATATCCGGGCCGGGCCTAAAAATTTTTTTTTTAAATATATCCCCGGGCTTAAGATTGTTAAACCCTGGCCGGGCCGGGCCGGGCCTTAATATTTTTTATAAAAATTTTTACATTATGAGTTAATGGTTATAAGATTATATTATATTATAGTTATGATTAATATAATATTGGGTGATGGTTAACACTACCTAACAACCCACAGATCGATCTAATTATTAATTTCCTGCAAATTTATTCAAAGTATTAATATATTTTTTTATAATTCATATCTAAATTTTTACAACATATTTTACCAAAACAATCAAATAAAGGAATATCTTAAATAAGCCCCAATATTCAAGTATTATTAATATATTTTTTTATAATTCATATCTAAATTTTTAAAATATATTTTACCAAAACAATCAAATAAAGGATTATCACTTCTTAAAGTTTGTAATTGATTTTACTTAATATAAAGCATTTTTTAATTGAAAAATTTGTTTTACACAAGTATCATTTTATTTCTCTTTTTCTCTGTCCCAAATTCAAGCAATTACGTATGTAGTCATGGACAGATCGGAAAATGACGGAAAACTATATAAAAGATTATATTAAATTACAAGAGGCTCAGGAAGTAAATGAAATACCATCGACCAGTCAAATTACGACTGTTGTTAAACAAACTGAATCGTTTTATGACAAATGGGGCTATGGTAATTCTCAGAGTTGTTAAACGCTATTTTTAAAAGTAGCGCGCTACCGTAAAAGCTATTTGTCAAAAAAAGTAGCGCGCTACCGCTTTCGCTATTTGTCAAAAAAAGTAGCGCGCTATTAGCTACTTTTTTTCAAAAGTAGCTTTAGCTACTTTTAAGCTACTTTTTATAAAAAAAAATTTAGAAACAAATTTTTTTTATTTTTTTTTTCTTATAATGTAAATGTATAATAAATAATATATAAAAATCAACATTTATAAATATAAAAATATAGTTAGTTTAGATTATAAAAAAATAAGTAATATAAATAAATATTTATTTTAATTTGTTGCATTTTAATAATAATATCATTTCAATATTATCATCCCCAAGTCTAGAGCGACGATCAGAAAGTATAAGCTTTGCTTTACTAAATAATCTCTCGACACTAGCACTTGAGGGCAAGGGGGTATTAAATTTTATATATAAATTTTTAATATATGAAAAATTATCAAAAATATTCATTTCAATATTTTTTGATTGAAAAAAAATATCAATTGGATTTTCTATTAAATCATCTTTAATTTCAAAAAACAGATCTTCTTTTTAAAGTCCTAGGGTCTAACCAATGGCCTGTGATTCCCAAATAAGCTCTAAAAATATTTAATCAGATCAATTTATAAATATAAATAAGTTTTTACCTTCTGTTATGTGTCCAACTATCTGCTATGGTACATACATAAGATATATCTGATAACTCTACTATTAGAGCATCTTTCATCACTTTGAAGTTGTCGGCTATTTTATTCATAAGTGTCTGGCGACATAAACTGTTGTGCCAGGGGATAAAGTTTTAATCATCAGAGTAAATGATGGATTATCAACCAAAGACACTGGCTGAACTGTGTCAATAATAAAATCAACAATAACTTTATCAGCCAATTTTTGTGAAATATTGGCATGTTTATTATCCGTTAATTTGGTTTGGATAGTATTTGTCTTTTTGAATGAAGATTCTCCTATACCAAAATTTTTTATATGTTTCTCTATTTCCTTATAGCAATTGGCGTGAACAGTCTAATAAAATAAATATTATTATAATGTAAAAATAACAATTTACCTTTAGGTGTTTCTTCAGGTTATAGCTACTCGATTGATTTGATGATATATTTTTTTTACATTTTAAGCACATGAATTTGAATCCAGATTTTGTTTTAATATTTATTTTAAAAAATTTTTCAAATTTAGGGAATGGAAAAACGTTATTAGAGCTATTAAGTACATTTTCTTCCATTGAATCTTCCATATCTGAATCACTTTCAAGGATTTGGATATCCATGGACGATGCCATTTTAGATTATTAACACAGATTGAAAATATAAATTAAAAATTGAAAACATATTTAAATTTCAAAATTAAATAATAAATTATAATTAATTATGATATTATATTTAAATTTTTATGTTTATACTTACATTCATTATATTTTTAAAAGTAGCGAAGTAGCGCGCTACTTAGCTACTTTTAAAAAAAGTAGCGCGCTAAAAAATTAAATAATTTTAAAAAAGTAGCGGCTATTAGCTATAGCTACCAAAAAAGATAGCGCGCTACTTTAACAACTCTGGTAATTCTGGTAATATGTCAATACCCGATGATGAATATTATAATTACATAAATAATAGATAAAACATTTAAGGTGGATAATTTGTTAGAGTGGTGGGCGGCTCATCAAAGCGAATTTCCAATTTTAGCAAAATTGGCAATTCCTGCTTTAAGTGCAAGCTGTGAGCGGAATTTTTCCACTACTGGTAGAATTCTTGAAGAAAGAAGAAGTAATCTTCAACCTGAAAAGGTAGTAGATATGCTTCTCTTTCTTCATGATAATTTGTGAATTTTTAATATCTTTCTTGAGTATAGGGTTTTGTCAATCATGCTGGTTTTTTACTTTGCAAACTGTCAAATATTTATTGCATTTATTATATTTACCTTGAGTCATGAAAGTTTTTAATCCAACATTTTTCATTATTTTTTTTTACAATATTATATAATACAATTATCTTCTTTTGTTAAAAATTTATATTATAAAATAAATTATATTAATATTGTGCAATTAGATTATATTTTCAAAATACTATTTATTATACATGCATTTTTTTAAATAGCGATTTATTTTTATTTTATAAATTAAATAGTAAATTAAATACAATATATTATATTCTCAAAATATTTTCCATTTTTATAAATTAAATATTAGTTTTATTTTTTTTAAATGTAATATAAAATATAGTATATGACAAATATTATTACCATTTTTATGAATATTAATTTTATTTTTATAAATGCAATATAAAATATAGTATATACTCAAAATATCCATTTTTATAAATAACAGTTTTATAATTTTTATAAATTCAATATAATATTCTCAAAATATTAGCTTTTTACATGTATTTTTTAAATAATAAGCGATAATACTTGCTGAAAAATATGGTAAAATACTTCATAGGTGAAATTTTTAGGTCGAATATAATTTTAAAAAATTCCGAGCCGGGCCTGAAATTTTTAAATCCGGGTCGGGCCGTAAAAACGGGCCGGGCCTTAAATTTTTAAATCCGGGCCAGGCCGTAAAAAATTTTTTTTTAAAATATCCGGGCCGGGCCTAAAAAATTTAAAACCGGGCCGGGCCGTGCAAATGGTACCTCTGCAGGTCTCTGATAAAAATAAATGATAAGTATATTTTTAAATAATTATAAGGCATTTGTAGTGTGGTTGATTTGATGATTTTATTACATATTAAAGAATTATTAAAATTTCAATTTAGTAAAAAAAAATGCTTATTAGTAACTATGTTTGTATAATTATTGATAAAATATATATTACCCCATTTTCCATATTTTAAAAGTTTGGGCCTTTTTGATCTTTTCCTTTTCATAAGCTTTAATTTTTGAATTTTTCAAATTGTCCTTATCATCCACCATTTCTTCTTTTATTAATTCTGTAAGTGGATTATTCTTATAGTTAAAAAATATATTGTGTAATAGTAGATAATTTTTAAGTGCACAAAATTAAAATATGAAAATTTAAACAAAGTGTAGCCAAAATTTTTCATAATAAGATAAATTAACAAAGCAGAATAAATTTAAATATAACATTCTATAACTATATAAGAGTAATATTTACTTGATTCCTTGTTGGGGAAAGATCTGAGTCAGAATCCGTCAAAGACTTTTCAGATTTGATATTATAGTTAGTAGGATTTTTAATATTTATACCAAAGGTAATATCCTTTCTAATAGGATCAAAATCTTCATCTGATTCAGTATCATGGCGTGACATAATATTGTATGGATCTTTTTCATCTGCTAATGAAGGCTTATATATTGATAAAAAAATTTGTATATTGTACACAGAGGCTTCCACAAAGATTGTGAAAATGTATTAATATTTGTAGATAGATAATTTTCAATTACAGGCTCATTTTCTTTTAACCCTTGATAAATATCTTCATGGTCAAGATTTTTATTATTTAATACAATATTTACGTCAGCATCATCATCAATAATAAATCTATTATAGAGTTTAATATAAGTTTACCTAGAAATATTTATACTTTTTCTTAATTTTTTTCTTTTTTTTAGGTAGGTATTGTTTTTTAATGTAATCATCCATCAAATTGACTAAAGAAATTCGGGTTTGGGCCTAATTATACCATCATGTTTTTAAAAATAAAAGCTAATGGGAAGTAAAAGCTTATAAATTGGACAATGAGCATATAAATTTTAAGTTAGGCGAAATTTAGTGAATAATTAACCGATAAAATACCTAATTATAACTGTACAATACGTCTTTCATCATATCAGTTTTAAATATTTACAGGATTTTGCAAAAAGGCGAAAATTAAAAGTGATAGGTATCTAATATTGACATGTAAGATTAGCATAATATTATAATCCACTATTATATAAAATAATTATAGAAGAAAAAATTGATGGTTCTTAAGGAGTATTTTATTCAGTTAAAATTAGGGAGCATAGGGGCTCAAAGGGGCGAGGACATAATTTTTTTCCATGGCTCGTTCACTCACAATCACGAAAAACAATATTTTGATCCTGCTAGTAGTGTTGTTAAACAGCAACTCAATATTTTATCCAGAATAATATTACTCAAGCATGAAGATTTTGTTTGTAGGAGGAACAAAGGTTTGGACAACTATTAGCGAAATCTTGAGACTTAGGCAATATTTTTGTGGCTGAAATATTGACTAAAATATTTAGTTAGCCGTTTTTAAAAATCGGCTCAAAACAAGCCGTTTAACAACACTACCTTCTAGTCAGGTAGGAAATAAAACTTAATTGTTAACCTTTACGCTTTTTGAATTTATTCAATCATAGTTTTTATTTCTTTAATTCCATATTAATAACAAGCATAATTACTTATAAATATTTATTTTAAAAAAAGAAAAATAACCAATTTTATTTTAATTGTGTTTATCTTTCCCTTATTGACTATGAAAAAAATTATCCTACACTGGAAGCCAAACTTGCGAGTTTAATAAAATTTACTTGCTAATTTTCACAAAATAGGAGGTGAATTTTCTTACTTCCAAAACTTCAACATATTTTCATTGTTTTTTGTTTTATGAAGGATGAATCTTTTAAGTTCATCCTCACAATTTTCATCGATAGATGTTGCCTCATCATTAGATTCAGAATGATTTAGAAGTTCTCTAAATGTTTAGAATATGCGATTTTTTATATGTGCTGGATAAATTAGATAAGTATATCATAATAATTGGCATTGTCTTATGCTTATTATCGAATATAAAAACATTTAGAATTTTTTAAATTGATTAATAATATCTGCCTTTTCGTCGTCTGATAAAAATTTAAAACTTTTGAAATTTGAATTTAGAAAAGACTACTTTATATAGTTGCTACATAATAAATATTTCTTTAAAAGAGATATTATCCTGTTTTTTAGAGTTTTTATTATTATATCTCCTTCTGAAGGCTGACAAAATTTTATTAATTTTTGTTTTCACTAAAAATAAACTTAATTTTTAGTGAGATGGTGACATTATCATTGAATGGTGAATAGTGATGAAAAATAATATTTAACTGTATAAGTATTAACAAAGTAGGTAACGTTTTATAAATTCAAAATAGGTAATATTTAACAAAATAACTTCTTTGTGATGGATTTACTTTATTTATATTATATATAAAAGAAAATAATTTGAATCTCCTCAAACAAGACATCTATGTCTATGGTATTTTTAATAAATTTATTAAATTATAAAACTATCAATTGATGGTTTCTGTTCTAATGTCATAATATCTATCCATTTGTAAATCGAGTGATTGAAATAATTTTTGATTACTAATTCTAAAATTGTCTTGATAAAAATTATTGCTTCATTTAAAAATACATTAATTAGAGTAATATTTGAACATTTTAATATTATATTTTCAGCAATAGAGTCAAAAAATTATTGCAAATTTTTAACTGTAAAGATGAACACAGCTGTAGCATAATTATGTGAATCTTATTTAAAAAAGATTCTATATTAATAACATGTAGTAGATTTCCTATATGTGAAATCATTCCTAAATATACCTCTGCCATTTCATTCTCGAAAAAATTTTTCAATGTACTAGACAGCTTTTATAATCTTTAATTAAGAAGTATTTTTTAAAGGTTCGTAAAATTTTAAAATTCTTGCTATGGCGGGTATTAATGATAATCACCTGATAGGTACATGTCACCACAACTCACACCATTCCAAGTCAGACCACCCCACCAACTCTTTTGAATTCATTAACTCTTTTAGTTGATGAACTAAATTCGTTAAAACATTTCATTACAATTATTTCGACATCCACATATAATATATTCATTTCCTTCTTGCATGAATTATGTAGGGTATGGCATATAGAGTCAATTGGCATTAAATCAACATTATACTTTATCAATTATGTTAATCACTCTGGGTTTTGCCAAAATTCACTGAGGCATTATCAGCGCAGCAGTTGACATGTAACTCATTGATATTCTCGAATCTGCAATATTTACCGTCATATGGTTAACTATGTCTTTAGATATTTCACTATCTGAGGAAAAAAATTTAATAGTTTTATTGAAACGCCTTTATTTTTGTTGAAATAGCGGAAGATCAAGGGAAATGTTTTAATATTTCCCTCATTAGATGCATCTGTAATTATTGCATATGGATGTCCATCTTTCAAATCATCAAAAATTGATCTCCTGGATTCAGATCCTAAACATTGGTAATAACCTCTCTCATTTTTGTTCCACCACAAGTAAAGTTATCACTTATCTTGAAGTCGTTAAATATTATGGGGAAAAGATTCGACCCACATTGTGATGATAAATAGCGCTGTGTATGTTGATTTACATGATAAGTGTATACCATTTCCGCAACTGTAGTTGCATCTGTATTATTTCTTATTTTTGGAGCATATTTTTGTATTGTAATAGATGTAGATACACTCCCCTTCACTTATTATAATAATAATGTGATTGAACTATAGAAAATAAAATAATCATCATTGAAATGAGTACAATATTACATGCATTTAAACGTAATAAATAGGTGATAATTAAGCAGCTAGTCCTATATAACACACATGAAAATGATAAAATATGAATGAATGATGTTGATTTATTATTGGATAAAAATAAAACATATTATTAAGGTAAGGATAGAAAGATATACAAACTAGTCATGTTTTTTGAATAAATATTAAAAATTTATTATGAAAAATAAAAAAATAATCAATTATTTTTCTCAAAATTATTATTTATATATTAAAACGTTAAAATGCTAAAAAAAATTGTGCGGGAGAAATTTACAAATTGCGGTAGATTTCCAATTACGGTAGTTATGTTGGAGTGAGATGTCTGCGTGTAAACTAAAAGATTGCGCCGTTGATGGGGGTAGATCTCGCAACCCTGATCATGATATATAAAAGTTCCATCTCGTTATTATATCTTCCTTAATGGAGTGGCTAAGCTTGCTGTATGATGCTGATTGCTTAAAATATTGCACTATCTTTTTTACATCATTAATATTTAAAGCTATTTCAGGTAAGCAATTACCAAAATTATAATACATCACATCATTTAATATAAGGCTTGAATATGGTATTCATTCGTCATCTTTCAATGCATTTATTATAATTTAAACAGCATGTATGAGGCAATTGCATCAATTTTTAGATTTGTAGGTAAATATGAGATTATTTAAACAATCACTTATAAAGATGATGTTTAATTTACTTTTTAATTTAGACATTATTACCTTTTCAAAAATATATATTATAATTATAAAATTGCAAATTTATATTCTTAAAAAAATAATTATAAAAATTAAAATTTCCGTTCTTCATGCAAAATTGGTTAATGATGCTTGGTTTAAGGTACCATCTATTTGAATTTTGTTCATTTTTCATTTGGATAGGCACTACCAAATATATTAATAATATATATTTGAAAAATCTTGATTTTTTGAAAGCCTCTATGGCCTAGTAGGCAAGAGCTTGGTTTACTTATCCCATGGTCCCGGGTTCGAATCCCGAGAATGATCATGTTTTTTTTCTTATTCTAACTTGGTGGTTCCATCCTTGGGAGGATAATATATAGGAGGCCGGACTCGACCACGTGATTCCGTATTAATATATTAAATAATAAGGGTCTTATTACATTTTAATAAATTTTGGTCGGTATTTAGCAAATTAGATTGGTATTTAAAATATTTCCATACATCCACTTGGTAGTAAGCATCATTAACCTGCAAAATTTATGTTCAGGCTAAATCACGCCAGTTAGAAGGCCTGTTACGCCCACGCCTAATAACGCCATGACCAATTTTGCCGTGAGTAATTTCATGACTCGCGCCCATCTCTAAGCTCACGTCCTTTGAAAAATTGTAAGTGACACATATAAATTTTGGAATTTTTTTTTCTATCTAAAAAAAGGTCATTTATAAAATCTAAAAAAATTTTTTATTTTTTTTGAACCCCCGAGATTGTAAAGGCTAGTGATGCCACTGATTGTAAGGTAACAAAATTTTCGGATAATCTTATATTCTTTTCAGTTAAGATAAGACTCTTGAGATATATTTTTTATCTGAATTCGCTTTTCATGACCGGCTTAGCAATCGGATCTGCAAATGGTGAAGAATAAGATATTGTGATGGATCACAAATAGAGGTAATTAGCAAATGGCGATGGATAAGAAATCGTGGAGAATCAGAGTTTTAAAAAATATAATATTTTTGGGGCTGAGTGCAAAATGACGATGAAATGTCTCATATCTTCCCATTCATTAAGCTGAACTTTATTGAATTTACACATCCCGCTTCCTATTTTTTGGTACCACCATAAAGTCTGGCCCTAACTAATTGTCTCACTGGGTACTTTACTTGTTCGTGCCTTTCAGACACTAACCCATTAATTATTGATTTTATTATATCCACTTCGTTGATCCAGAATTGGAGTGTTCCACTTGATATTATTGAGTAGGAGTATATTATAATTGATTAATTCCTAATTAAATTAAAACTAGATTAATATCAATCTTTGAGGGTGTTAGAGCACTATAAATTTTGGGATATTTTCGTAATTATTGCTATATAAGCAGTAATTTTATAGTCACTCGCGGTGCACCTTTTTTAAATTTAATAAAAAAATACGGTTAAGTATGCATTGCATAGAAAAAATAAATATTTATTTCTAGGAATTTCGAATTAAATAATGTTTTTGTCTATATTATATTATTTGATGATTTATAGTAGAATTTTCCTCTTAATAAATTCTCGGGAAATGGAGACTTTGAGCAAAAAATAATTCCCAAAGTGTTTATTTTGCTACACTTACATTGTGATTTTATCAAATAAAATTCTCATTAAAAATTTTTAAGTAAATAGCTATAAAAATCAAAAATAAATATCATATATTTTAAAAATATCTGGGCTGGGCCTGAAATTTTTTTTTAAAAAAACCCGCGGGTCGAAAAAAATTTTGAAAAAAAATATCCGGGCGGGGCAGTGCAAATGGTACCTCTGCAGTTATTTGTAAGTAGTGCTCCGTTACTTTAAAAATACCTGTTACTCTATACAACTTGGTTTAAATTCCACATTTTTCAAGAAAAAATTTGATAAAACGAGTAACATTTTGCGTTATAGTTACTCGAAAAAAGAAACGGGTTACACGTTACCTATTGAAAGAAGCGTTAGTAATGACGTTACTTTATCGATTACAGCACTATTTGTAAGTAGTATTGTGAAATATCTCTCAATTTTACTTATATTAATCTCTAAGGTTATTTGATTACTTTAAAAATTATTTTACCCAGGTTTCAATAATTTTGCAGGTGGAGCACTCCAATTTCAGAATAATGCAGTGGCATATCCATCACGTGTCTTCGTATCATTGTAACACAATAGAGACACCCAATTTTCACATTTTTTAACCAATTTTTCACAATCGAAGCTATCTTCTCATATTGTCCATTAGACTAGATGATACAGTAATGCTAAAATACTTTTACCAGTATATTATAACACAGTATTTTTTCAAATTTTCACATGATTTCTGGTCTTCCATATGTGATTGGTATTGACTATTCCAAATCAATAAATTTTGTCTTTAACACCATTACTTCTTTGTATTCAATCTATTTTGATACGCATACTAAAATAGCTATTTTATCAAAATAAAAAAAAAATTCAACTGGATACGCTCTCATGGTTCGTGTTTCAAAGATTTTTTTTCTTTATAAGACATATTGAGATTGATAAAGTATTATATATAGGCCATACATTTTTCCTCATAAATATCTTTATCAGGTCATCAGACATATCTAGCCCCAATTGTTTCATACGTTTAATCACTTGATTTCCGGTAAAAAAAACAAGTCCATCACTTTATCCCTCAATTTCAAAGGTTTTTTTTCAATATTATTAAACTTTCTAGTCATGCTATTCCACAGTTTATTTCTAACTAACCATTCTTTCAAAAGGCTTAATTCAACCTTCTTCTTTAATTCTCCTCTCTTAAACCCCGAATTGATGTGGGACTTTTCTTCCCTTCCTTAATTTTTAAATGACGTCATCGCGTATTTCTTCTTGCTCTCAGTCTAGATCTGGTAAGAGGTTTGATTTTCCCTGGCGGTATTATAATTATAAATAAAAATTGCTCATAAGCATTCTCCGTTGCAAAATGGGGAATAATATATATTTTTAGTCTTAAAAAAAGATGAAACAACAGTTTATGACCTCTGTGTACACCATAAATTTTACAGCACCTTCCTGATTTATTTATTCCCAATTAATTTTCTATTTTGAAAAAAATGTGAATCTTTCGATCCCTTACATCCTTTCTAATAAAGCCCCCCCCCCAATCTTTGCTAGAGGTTAAAAATATAATTGACTACAATTTTTATACTTTGAAATATCTTTATTCTTTCAATATCAAATATAAAATTCATTTTAACACAAGAATTAAGTAGTGAATAAATCTCTGGTAAAATCTATTACTTATAAAATTATTACGATTTAAATAAATATGAAAAAAAAATGACATATGCAAATTCCTATAAAAAATTATAAGAGAATGTAGATCACATATACAATAATTACCTATAAGGACAAAATTTATATATAAAAGTAATTCTAACTAACCGAAAAAGAGCGAGGATACATCGTTTGAAATAAATAAAGGCCATTTGAAATCTAAGATGGACTATAGGTAAATCCAAACCTTTAAGAGCGCGAAGGTATATATATTTGATAACAAAAATAAAGTAGAGACCGACGCTTAGGAAAACCTCATAGAAAAAAGGGTGAAAAAGAAAAAGGACTACTAAAAATGATGGGATTTGATTAAGGAGATTAGGTGGTAAGTGGAACGGTGATAGCTTGCTATAAATAAATAGAGGAAAATATGGTTTTAGGCGTTTTTTGACCATCCTTAAATGGGATATAGAATCGTAATAAAAAGAATTTGGGGGTGGAATTCATTTTAGCTTTATCAAAAGTGCGTTTAAATCTTGATGGTCGAACCAACAAGAGTATATTATAATAATTATAAGGTAGTAGTTTTTTAACTATTTTTGACATTGCAAAAAAATTTACCAAAAGGATATCTCTTATCTGAACTCCAGATGATTTGCATAAATTCAATAATTTACTTTTAAAAGAGAAACTTCAATAATTTACATGGTATTTTATTATCGCCTAATATAGTATATTTTAAAAACGATTTGTTTTACATGAAATACTGTTTTATTTATGTTTTAATAATCGCTCGAGCATAAAGTATCAATCATTTATTGCAATAAATATTATATAAAGAATGTATTATACTCTACATTAATGGTTAAATTTTCTCCCATAACAGATAATAAAATTTTGCTTTTAATAAATTTACAATAAATCAGCGTAAAAAAAATGGCAAAGTGAAAACTTGACGAAGCACGAAAATATACTATACTTGGAGGATAGTAATGAATATTAAGATACTAACACCAATTATGATAAATAAATGATCAAACGATTTAAATGAAGACTTTTATACATTTTTTTCAAAAAAATATTTGGCAAGAGGGATCTAATAAATGGCAATGCGTAATAATCCATTATAATTAGTGTAATAAATAAATTTATTCTATTTATCATATTTTTAACAAAAAGGTTTAAACTAAATTCGTTATGAATAAAGATTTCGAAAAAAAATATGTCAGAATTCTTGGTTAGCGTTAATAAACATATCTGTTATAAATATAATATGCATTAAATCTTTACGTATTTGTTATATTATATAAGTTATATATGTATTTTTTAAAAAAAGGAATTATTACAAATTAATTATTCCGATTTAAAAAAAAATATATATATTTTATCAATTTTTAATATATATAAATGGTTTTTTATTCATTAAAAAATAATAGATATATAAAAATATCAATCGATTCCATATATATCAGGACACATACTCCAATCATGTTCAGCTTTTTTCTCAAAATATTGGCCTTTGTAAAGGTGTATCAAATTTCCAGTATAGGGATCTTGTTGCTTTTTAAACCATATTGGATCGTACCCTTTATAAGGTTTTCCTATTAAGAAAGTTTAAATTTTTTTTAATACATATTATTTATTTATTTTGCTGAGTGTAAATTTGATATTTTTTTATAGCAATTTAAGATGATAATAAAGGCGGTATTAAATAATAATGTGCGTTGTTTAATTTTACATAATTAGATTGGTTGTTTTTTAAATACTTTCCTATATTCCGTATAATTCTGTAAAATTATATATTACTTAATTTTATATAGATCTAAATATAATTCTAATGAAAGATAACATAAAAACATACTTAATAAATTTAGATTTAAAAAGATTAAACAATCATATTTATTTTATCGCAATGCTTATAAATGTAGAGAGGCTGCACATGGTGATTAAGATAATGTTATATAACAGTATAATAATAATAATTCTGAAAGGCACCAATATAAGTGTTAGGTTGCATTCATAGTGGGATTGAATAAGACACGATTTAAGAACTGATCGATCTTTATTCAATTTTTCTTTATTAAAATCAATAATTCTTGGATGATTACCTTGAATAGAATTAAAAATAAAATAAATATTAATATATATTTTAAAAATAGATAAGTTGATAAATCGTGTCGGATCAAATCTCACTATGAATCGAGCCTTAATTAATAATTATTTTTTATGTTTAACCTTCCATAGCGGCCTTTTCTATTTCCGCTTCTTTTTTTCTTCTAACAGCTCGTTGTTTATCTTCCAATTTGACCTATTTATAAATTTTAAATGGCCGGTGAGAATGTACATTGTGAAAATTATCAAAGAGAATGATAAAATTTAAAAAAAACTTTCATTTGATTAGCTAACTCCCATTTGCCTTCCTCTAGGTATCTTTGATCGGGGCGATTACGACTGTCGGTAGGTGCTACACCCTTCTCAGGTTCGTTTAATTGAATCGCGAATTCTGTAAAGTAATACATGGCCTCGTTTTGAGCTCTTTATTTTTTATTAATATGCGAGAGTTGTATTTTAAAAAAAATTCTTTTATTTATTTTTTGCAGTGTTGTAAACGAAGTTCGTTTTTTTGAAAAAAGGTGATGAACGGCGTTCCTTTTTTTTGACGAACTTTGAACGTGAACGCGTTCCTTTTCTTTGATGAACGCGTTCAATTTTACGTTCGTTCAATTTTAAAAACACTTTTTATTTTTATTTATTTGAAAAATTAATATTAATCCGCATTTTTTAACAAAAAAGTCTTATATTTTTATTTATTTGAAAAATTAATATTTAATTTAATTTTTTAACAAAAAAGTCTTATATTTTTTAATCAGCTGTTTTTACTTTTTCCTCTTTCATATTGCAATTAACGTACCATAACGTGCTACTGCTAGAGAAGATAAGATTAAAGTTTATTAATTTGAATATTTTATATTTTAATTTAATAGATTAGCATTTGCATGGATATAAATATTTCATCATCAGATTCTGAAAATCAAAATTCAATATTAGATGAATTAGAATTACCATGGCCCAAATATCAAAAATATTTCACTGTTTTAAAATCAAAAGGTTCAATAGTTACCAAATGTAAAATGTGTCCAAAAAGTATTATATCAGTGTCAACATCTTCAAGCTCCAATTTAAAAAGACATCTGATTGTAACATTAATTATTTTATATTATATAATATGTATAACTATATAGCCAGTTAATAATTTATTTTAATTGTTCTAAGTAAAAATAATTACATAATATATATATATAGTTAATTATAATAAGGCATTTTAATATTAGTATTAGTCCATTCTTAGCATAGATATGAAAGGGAAACTAGTATTTTTATGGGAGCTAATTTTGTTTGTCAATGTATTTAAAATAGGGGAAAATAAGAATACTGTGATATGTAAAATTTTAAAAATAAAAAGAATATATCTTTTGTCAAGAAAATGAAAAAGATTCTTTTCAGACTAGTTAAAAAGGTCAAAAAGTACTGAGTACAAGATACAAAAGGATCTTGTATCTTAGATACAAGTATTTGTGGTACTGCCAAACACTGATTTTAGAATTATTTTATAAGTCATAACTTTGCTATTACCAATTTAATAAAATAATATTATCTGTAGCATAATTTATCAAAAATTCCTTAATTTTTACAGAGTTCTCATGATAGTATGATGCAAGAAATTAATGATCATTTAACAAATTATAGTGATACAATTTAAAAAAAAGTAAAGGCTGAGAAATTTAAATAACAGACACTCTTAAATTATAAAAAAAATGCATCAAATGTGATTCAATCACAAATTGATGATGCAATAATTAACTTCATTATAGAAGAACTAGAGCCTTTTAATATTGTTGAAAAACCTGCTTTTGTAAAAATGATAACCACATTACAACCAAATAAAAAGGTTATGTCACGCCCGACCCTTGTGTCAAAAATATCAAAAGATTATAATATCATGATAGATAAAATGATAACTTGTTTAGGCAATCAAACAATTCTTTGCATCACAGCAGATTCATAGTCATCATACCATCGTTTTGTACATTAAACTTTGAATATATCAATTTGTTTATATTATTACTTCGTTTTTAGGCATGACTGTACACTGGTTAGATTCTGTCACTTTAGAAAGAAAATCGGCATGCTTAGCTTGCCAAAGGCTAACTAGCAAACACACATATGATTATTTAGCTGAAACAATTTCAAACCTTCTAAAGAAATTTAAAATACATAATAAGGTAACATTATGTGTCACTGATAATGCAAGAAACTTTTTAAAGGCCTTTAGGTATAAATAAATAGTCTATATTTTAATTTTTATATTTAAAAAAAATTATAGATTATTTGAGAAAATATCTGAAGATGAGGAAGATGAAATTGAATCATTATCATTAAATGAGGTGTTTGAAAATCAAAATAGGGAGGAAAACTTTATCTATCTCCCCAAACATCACTCTTGTGCTTGCCACAATCTTAATTTAGTGGCAAGTGTTGATGCTGAAAAAGCATTAGAAGATGTATCTTTTAAAAGAATATTAAATAGTGCATTTGATAAATGCAAAATTTTATGGAACAAACAAAATCAGTCAACATCATTTGCTGCAGACTAAAGAGTAATTTGTCAAGATTACTTATTAGGCCTGTTATTACCCGATGGAATTCTTATTATAATTCTTTGAAATTAATAGATTCCTTAGTAAAAGAAAATTCTAGTTTGTTTGACAAAGTCTGTGATATGGGAGGATTAGCTAGACTCTCAAACAATGATAAAATTTTTTTGGAAGAGTACTGTATTGTAAGTCCTAACAAAATTTTTTAGAATAAATATTATAATGAATTTTTTTAAATATTAAAATAGATCATGGAGCCTATTGAAACAGCTCTCACTATTTTAGAAAGTGAGGAAAAGATGCATTTGGGATATTTGACCCCGACAATAACAATAGTTAGTATAAAATTAAACAAACTCAGTGGTCTAAAATATGGGCAACCATTGATAGATGCTGTATTAAATGGGATTAATAAAAGGTATTAAACCTATCACTATCAAATTAATTACATATATTTTATTTTTTTTAAGATTTCAACATATATATGAAGATCAATATCTACTTTCAGCAATTATACATCCGATATTCAAGCTTCAATGGCCTTGGATTAAGCTTCCACAAAATGAACCTTTAAAGAATAAAATTATAGCTTTTTTGAAAAAAGGCATTGAAACCCCAAGAATTGATAATGAAAGAACTGTCAATTCCGAGATATCTTTTTTTTTGACGAGGAAGAACAGGGCAGATTGGAGGATGATAACATAGCTCAATTTTTTGAAACAAAGGATAAAACATTAAATGTTTTTAATAAATTCCCCCTTTTAAAAGAATTGTTTATCAAGTATAACACCGCAATCCCTTCATCTGCCCCTGTTGAGCGAGTTTTTAGTATAGCTAACGCTGTATTAACTGCCAAGCGTTCATGCCTATCAGATGAAAATTTTGAAAAGCAATTATTATTAAAAATTAATAAGAAAATTTTTTATTATCAAAATAAAACTATTATTTTTTATCATGGCTAATATATTGTGTTGAAAAATATAAGGCATTTATTTATATTAAATTAAATTTAAAAAAAAATTTATCATAAAATTTTGAACGCATGAACGCGTTCATGAACTTGAACACGTTCCTTTTTTTGAATTTGAACGTGAACGTGAACGCGTTCGATTTTTGTCAATGAACGTTGAACGCGTTCGATTTTTTTAAAAATGTTTACAGCTTTAATTTTTTGCAATAATACTTGTCTAAATTTTACAAAAAGTTTTCAAGTATTAATATTTAAAAATTAGGCAACCCTTAATACAGTGGACTACATGAAGAATTAAAATTTAAATTATGATAAAGAAATTGTTTATAATAGAGTAATATAAAAATAAAGCAAAAATGATAATTTCGAATTTACGGGGGTGTCCTGACTTTCCACAACATAGTAGAGGGTAGCGTTTCGAGCACGGGTTTTCCTTTATTGTTAGTGTCAGAATCGACGACCTTAGCGCATTCAATGGTGCTATCCCAAGTTCCAGAGAGAACCCAATGAGCGTTACCGGCAGAGTCCGTTACCACGCCCGTTACCTTGAAAATATTTTGTTATATTTAGAAATATACACTTAAATTAATGTATAGAAAGGGGACCTATAAACAACCCTTATAAGGAGAGTTTCTTTTATTGTTCACAAAAATAATATAAAATATAGGGAACCTGTATAATCACATATTAATTGTATGTAAATTATAGGTCTATAATGCACGGGTTTTTTTAACTCGCCTGCCCTTTAAAAATATGGATAGACGGATGGGTTAAAAATATTTTTTTAAACAATGGGGAGAGGGGAGACGGAGTGATTTTGAAATTCAGAAGAAATGAGCAAAACGAGCGTTATATTTAAAATAATTTTTTATTTCATAATATTGCATATTTTAAAAGTTTAGGTAAAAATATAATAAAATAAAAAATCAATCGAATAATTTTTATATATTGGGCGAATGGATTATAAATTTTTTATGTAAATAAGTGAGAGGGTGAATTACCAAACTATTGCAGACATCTAATGAATACGAATCAAATATTTACAATGACGAAGTGTTAAACTTTTAAGCTTTCTTGCCCACTTTAAACTTAATGAAGTGACCAGGTGAAGACATCTTCTCAGGGAAGCGATTGCTAAAGCAATCATTTTTTAAATGAAATATTTGATACTATCATTTTAACCGATATCTAAAAAAATAATAGTTAGACCTCATAATATAATAAAAAAAAGTTTGACCCAACAAAAATTTGATCTATAAATTACTAAACATAAAAATTATTAAAAAAAATAAATTACATTAAAATACGACCCGGGCCGTTACCCGGGAAGGGCTTAGCGACCAGGTCTTGATTTTTATCAAGGTAATAAAAAAAATTATACCAAAGAATTTATTCATACTAGCAAGAATTTTTTCTTATACATTAAAAAATGTTGAATTTTTAATTTATTTCACGAAATGCATTTTTTTTGTTAGGGGAAAAAATAGTATTAATTTTATTTAAGAAAAATTAGAAGGGAAACAATGCTACATTTGCTCCTTCGGACCCTTCATTGCTAATAATTATCAAACATTTTATTTTACAAACTGTCTGAAAAGATGCTAAACAAAAAAATTAATCATTAATTTGCATTCTAACAAAAGGATAATAAAAAAAAAATTCTTTTTTTAAACCTTCCTTGGAGCTTCTCGGGCAAAATAGCTATATGAATAATATTTGAGATGACAGTTGTCCTTGGTTTTATGATTTATAATGTCCATCTCGCCCGAATGTTCCATCCACAATTTACCGACTATTATATTATGAACAGTTGAGGTTACTTTACGCCAGGTGTAATGATTGCCGGATCTAACATTAAAGTCAAAAGTTTTTTTAAAAAAAAAGAAATTTGGAAGTATTTAAAAGTTTCAATCATTTATCAAAAAATAATAACAATGTAACACTTAGACCGGTCTAGTTGGCGTGTTTAGAAAATTTTTCTATTTAGTCTATTTCTAACTTGAAAATATTTCGCTGCCGAGATCTACTTTCACTTTTTGTTTTACCCAGGCTTAAAAATCAGGCTCTTATCAGGAAATCTCCTTGGGTTTAACACTTAAAAATTTGAAGGGGAGTATTTCATTTTCTATGTACACATCTTCCTTCCATAGCTTTTAATTTATTTGTTCATTTGCTTTTAAATAAAAATATGGTTCATGAAAAATTTACTTCTTAAACTCAAGGTGTGCTATCCCCAGAGGTATAATGTTGAGGTATTTGCCTCGAAATTTGCTTGACATAGTAAATTCCTGCCAACAAACCCATTCAGCGCTTTCGGTGTAAAAGGCGGCGGTGGGTGGATGATGACTAACCTTCATTTAAATAAAATTTAAGTCAAATGTTAAGTTACTACTGCTTTCATTAGCAAAAAAAGTTAAAAATATGCTTCCTATAAAAATATCATTTGTTTAAAATATGGTATTAATTGTGCAAGGTTTCGTAACTTTATTTATTTATTTAGGAAATGAATCTTTTTTAGAGTAAATATAATTGAGTTTGATATACAACATTTAATTATATATTTCTTTTGATGTTAGATAAAATTTCGTACTCAATAAATTATCCATAACCTCTCCTTTAATCTCATATCACATCGCTTGATTATTATGGGGTCTTATCCTAACTCTATTTCTTGGAGAAAATTAAAGTTAAAGCAAAATTTTATTTATCCATCCCTATGTATTAAAAAAACCCTAAATTAATTTTTAATATGTTTCTTATATTATGAAATATAGTTTTTCTAAATGATCAATAATAATTATTTTATAATACATATAAAAAATATAAAATTAAATGATAAATATAATTTTTACACTATAACAATACATACATAAAATAATATAATAGTTTTCCATGATTATTCGTTAGCGAAAACTTTATGGACAGGTGGAACATGTTTTGGTCAGGCAATGTTAATATTATTTGTTAATTGCGAGCTGAGTAGTGCGTATCCAAGGCATAAATGATCATTCACGGGGTCTCGTTCATTGATAGTATAAAGTTGAAATAGTTGTCCTTATTGTGTTTATATCCAGCCTCTGACACAGGTAGTAACATCGTTGGGATCCTCGGGCCTAGCAGAGATCCGGTTCCCCAACTCTTTAAAAAAAAGGGTAGGATGTGAGAGCCAATAACTTTAAAGTCGTGGCGGTTATGGGTAGAAATGTATAGTTAGTAGGTAGTGACACTCAACTAACTCGCAATTAACATTGCGCCACTGTTGTATTAGTTTATATAATAATTGGCGTGAAAAAAAATATACATGTTAAAAAATTACTCATTTCTTTTTGTTAAAAAATTATTATTTTTCGTTTTTTTTTGTATTTAAAAATTCGTAAATTTTGTTATTGGAGTTTAGATATATAATAAAATAAAAATTAAAAAATATCTAAGTATCTATAGTCAGTCATAAAAGAAAAATTAAAAATTGTCAAAATATCATAGTCAGTCATAAAACCGACAAAGACATGTCCCATCTGCTAATAAGGTTTTCGCTAATAATCGAAAAAATGATTATCACATAATTTTATATATTTGTTAAAATGTAAAAACTCTTATTTATTATTTAATTATATAATATGTATATGTATTACCAAAATTTAACAATTATTATTAATCAATTAGAAATGATTCAAATAAAATCATCTAAAATATAGTTATAATAATGCTAACCAGATGACGTTTTTTTTAAATATCAATCTCCTACCAAAATTGATCAAAGTGTGGTTAGAACATTATAAATGTGTTTATTAGAACCAACGCCCCCCCCCCCCCACCAGATAAAAATAAAATAAAGCACAAACTTGTTCAGCTACCATACACCAGCCCATATCATCGCTGCGATCACACTCATAAGTCTCTCCCAGTAAAGGGTTGAATGGCTTGGTAGTTCTGTAAATGGTAGTCGAATATGATGATATAGTGAATGCTGCTACATAACACATCTGTTCAGTAGGGTCTTGAATTTTGGCGGCTCTGTCCAAAATTTCAGAATATTCAAAATCTTCTGTCAGGCGTTGAAGCATGGAAAGGGGCTCGCTAAAGTTAACCTTGATTTGTGAGATTTAGGGGAAATACGTAAATTGATGTTTAAGAACATTTAGAATAAAATAGTAATTTAGTTCATAGATAACGTTGAGGAAAATTGGCAATATGAGTAAAGGATTTAAAATAATATTAAAAAAATATTAATTATTAAATTTTGGTAAAATTATTAGACCCATAAATAAGTCAATGGGCAAAATTAAGATTGAATTAGGAATAAACAGATTGATAAACCATCTTTTTATGAGGTACGAGGTTCAGATCGGTTTTCTGTTTAACAAAATAATATAATCGGAAATAATATTAGGCAGACCTTTTATTCAAGATAAATCTAAACTGGGGCATAGATAATGAACAAAGATCTCAAAATTGTTAACATACAAAAGAATCTGTAAATGTTTTGACTTAGTAAACAAATTTCTGTCATGCATTTTTAATTATGATATTAACTTTTAACTTTGGATGGGGCGTGCATACACTCCTGCATTTTTTAAATTATATATTTCTATTCAAAAATAAAAATTTATTGTTAAAATTTTGAAGTTAAATATAAAAATTTAAAACAAAAGGAATTTTAAAATAGTGACATGATTGGACAGTATAACAGTCCTGGACCGGTCTTTTTATTTAAGACCGCAGTCTAGTCCAATCTTTTAAAAAAGACCCGTCCTTGAGTCGCACCGAACTGTCACCTTCATTACTAATAAATAGCTCAAATTAGTTTCTTTAAAGGTTGAATTGAAAAGAAAATGATATAACACAATAACCAATACCGGCATGGGAATCTTGGAGAGATCCTTCCCTATGCAATTCTTGATGATGCTCCAAAGGTTAAGCGACGTGTTAGGTTTGGCCGGTACGGACGTTCTCCTATGCCTAGGATGACCGGCATTCTTTTTAAGTTGAGCTAGCAGGGCCTTGTCAACAAGGATCGTGTAATCTAAGAGTTTGTTCCCGGTCGGGGAATTCTGAACTAAATCTGTAGGAGTGGAATGCAAATGAGAGTCCGATGTATTTTCGGCTGTATTCGATTTGGCCTGTTTAAAAAAAGAGATTATATAATACTGCTAAAAAATGGAAATTAGGCTATGATATTTAAGGTTGTGTATAATTAAGGAGGCTTGACAGATTTATATTCCAGATAAAGTAATATAAAGATTTTACAAATTTTTAAATAAACCGAGAAATTCAATAGTTTCTTATTTCATAGCATTTTGTACAAGAGGGTTTAATAGAAAAAATAGTGAAGTTATAAAATATAAACTAGATCAATAATCATATACTTATTTTTATATAAAACTATTTAAGAAGCAAGGGCATAGAGGAATTCAACAGATATAATACAATAAGATCGATCTTCGTATGTTTAATCATTGGTGCTTAAAAACTCGAAAGGAATTATAATGCATATAAAAATAACTGATATAATATGAATATTATAGCTTATTTTAAAAGGATTATTATTATTATTAAAAAGTTAACAGTATACCTTATTTAAGAGAGACCAATGCGGGATGCCAATGGGAGGGAAGAGAATAATGAATATATTTTTTAATATCTCGAATTTAATTGTAAATATCTATTTTAAATATATTTAATCATTAATCAAATTTGGCTAATTTGACTCTAAAAAATTATTGATTGATTTTTAAAATCTAAAGCAAGTGTTCTAGAGTCCTTATTAATCTGGCGACTATCGCATTGGTAATATCAAAAATAATGTAAATAGGATTAAGGAGATACTATACTATACATTAAATATGTCTAGTAAATAATGTATTGTGTAAAAAATATAATTTGCAATATAATATTATACTAGGTCGCAATTTATTAATAATTTTTATAAGCGTTGTGATAACGTTCCAGACTCAATCACATATTAATAAAATATATTTGGTTGTTTTCAACGGGCAAAAAAACGGGTAATAAAAATAGTAGGGTTTCCCAACCTTAGTCTTATGGCCTATTTTATTGACGTCTTTGGTCAGCACCACTGTGGCCTCTTGCGTTTCTTGCTCGTCCCGGTCGGACGATTCAGAACTTCCGCCACAAATTGCGTTGTTACCCTCGGAAGAGTTATTAGAATTAGTTTCGTTTTTGTTACCACCAGGACCAATCCGAGCCGAACCACTCATTAAATTAGGATGAGATGCACCCTCGCTAACGTTACTTATACCGCTCGGGGTACGACTTTTTTAAAAATATTTTTTATTTAAGATGTAATAAAAATTACCAGGGGAGTTATTTATAAAAATTGATTTTGTCAAGAAATCAAAATTTTTATGTATGAAAGAATAGAGAAATATGAATGGTTAAATGAAAGTATCAAATTAGAGCAAATAATTTAGGCAGGATGCATATTAGTATATCGGTATTTTATATCATTTATTATTATAATAAAAAGAATTATCATAATGAGTCTCTTATTTATCATAGCCAAAGGAAATAAAATAATAAGAAAATGTAAACAAAAACTATATTAATTCTTAAAAAGGAAATAAAGAAAATGATTTTTTCTTGATCATTTTTTTTTGTCAAAAGGGAGGGGGGGGGGGTGATAATAAAATAAAGATGAAATTAGGAAAGAGAAGAAAGAATGATAAGTGCAAACTAACTTGTGGTAACTTTTACATTTTCGAGGCAATGTAACAACAAAACTTTCTTCGTCAGAGACAAGGTTGGCAGCGGCCGCGGCTGATACGTCCGTCGCGTCGAAAAATTCGTCCTCGTCTGAAACGGCCTGGGATACTTGACATAATAATATATAGCAAGCTCTATTAATCAAATGCTATACCTCATTGGTCACCAATTTAATTTAATAAGAGAAAAAACCGATAGGAAGTTTTTAAATACCTAAAAAAATAATTTGTTTTTTTACCTCCACCCGGATTATTGGTATTGATTTCGTTATCTTTACCCGTGGAAGAGGGATTGGTGGCTGGATTTGAAATCATGACCATATTTCGAGCCGCAACTTTTTCCAAATGACTGTGCTGTTTGGCAAGTTGCTCGACCATCTCTTCCAAGCTAGCCTTCTGATCACGCTCGTGTTGGATAGTTCGTTGCCAGCGCTTGCCCTGTGCCTGGGCCAGGTCCAGATATTCGGCACAAGCCTTGGAAAATATAATGACAAAAATTAATATCGAGCGTCAGCATTCGTATGTTTTTTTATATTCATTCCACTATTACCTATTTTCCCTATTATAACCCACCGCTTCCTTCCTTTCCTACTCATTCTTTCTTTTCCTTTCTTTCAAGGCTTATTTTTTCCAATCTTTCTCCATCTTATACTAGTAAATCTTTACATTAATGATGGCGTTGGCCGTTATCCTGAACAAGGTAGCTCTCTCATTGACGGCCTTTATCTTGGCTGGCAAAGAAATGTCTTTCTCTTGCGACAAGCCAATATTCGCTGCTCCGCCGTCTTCCGAATGTCTGGCAGAAATCTCGGCTATGGCACTTTCCAATTCATTGAGCGCTTTTTGGAGTGCGGCCCCGTGTTTATTCACCAAATCGTCGCAAGTTGCCAAATCTTCAAGTTTGACAACGAGAGCTCTCATTATATTGTTGCTAGAACCACTACTTTCCGATAAATTACAATTCACACCATTTCCGCTGACAATGTTAGGACTATTATTGAGAGTGTGGTTTAAAACTAGGTTCGAAGAGGTTATGTTATTGTGAGTGACCGTAGATGGTTCCTTGGACGAGATGCCCGAATTATAGGAGTTGTAAGGGGTAGATAAGGGGTGCGTGTGGAGTGACGGGGAGTAGTGTGGGGCATGACCGACTACCACTAGATCGTCGTTTTCATCGTCCTCATCTTTTAACATAACGAAATAATAATATATTTTTTGAGAATATCTTATTTTGCCAAGGTTATAAAACAAAACAAACCTAGTCAATCCCCAATAAGAAAAATATATAAAAATTAACATATACTTTAAAATAAAATAATCAAAAAAAAACAACCAATCTTTTTAATGATGACTTGCATTGCTTCGCAAAACCAAACAAGTAAAATAAGATGTTTTAATCGTAACGTTTATGCGCTAGTGGAGGCATAAAAAATATTTTTATCTTTTATTAAAAGCCCTATGTTTAAGTTTTAACAGGAGGGTTTGAACTAAACCTAAACCCCGTTTTTAGCATTGAACCCGAACCAGCAAAAATGGGCATAATTATAAGTTTTGTATTAACATATGGTAATTATCCACTTTTCTGATATTTTAAAACTTTCAATTTTTGTTTTCATTATACGATTTTCTTTAATCAATAATAATTTATTGGCTTAATATATTAAATTCAGATAAAATATATAAATAAATATTCCCAGGTTGTAGTATTGTTAAATGGCTCATTTTGAGCCGATTTTTAAAAACGGCTAACTCAATCTTTTATTAGGAAAAATATTATGCAAGCCTTAAGATTTTATTCATAGGTGGCACAAAGGTTTGAACATCTATTAACGAAATCTCGAGGCTTAGACAATATTTTTCTGGCTAAAATATTGAGTTAGCCGTTTTTAAAAATCGGCTCAAATCGAGCCGTTTAACAACACTAGTTAACCACAATCAGACGGGTTAGGGAGAAAATATTTTTGGACCCTTAAATTAATTTTATATCCTCATAGCCATAGGTGATGAAATACTAGGGATATTAATTGCACTTTTTAAATAAAAATTTTGAAATATTTGTAATCAGAAGTTTATTATTTACTCATTGTTAACTTTCTAAAAATAGAACGCGTTCAAAGTTCATTGAAAACAATGACATGTATATTACTTAGACTGACGATTCATTTATTAAAATGCATTTTTAAGCGTCGTTAAAAGCAAATCAGCTGGACCCGCCATTTTGGTAACACATATAGTAATTATTCTCATGTTAAAAACTACTATTAAATTGATAACTTGCTTCCTTATTATCTCGATGATCCGGTAATTCTAAAGTTTGAATCAGATATAGGAATAAATTAGGCTCTCGTTTAAAATTTTAATAATTAGTGTAACCAAGATGGCGTCTCCAGCTGATTTGCACTAGGTATTATATATGTCATTGATTGAAAATTCGTTGAAAACTTTATGAATAAATATATATTTTTTAATTTTATTTAATATTTGATTTAATACAAATAATAGCCATAAATTGGAGAAACAATCAACGTACTATTTATTATAATATAATGAGATATATATTTCCCCTAATATACGTTTAATACCCGTATTACACAGAAAAGTAAGTTTAAATGCCACACTTGAAATAATAATCATTTGTTCAAATTATGCGCATATATTACGTATAGTCAGGATTACTTTGTAAAGGAATCACTTTAGGGGTTATAGGGATCCTATCGAAATAAATACCATAGGTGTAAAAAAAAGTATAATAATCAGGGTTGGGCCTAGTGTTGTTAAACAGCTCGATTTTACTAATTTTAAATTAAGATTTTATTTAAAATAAAATTATGCAAGCCTCTAGATTTCAATAATAGATGTCCAAATCTTTCTGCCAACTATGAACAAAATTTCCGGCTTGAATAAAATTTTGTAGCTAAAATATTGGGTTAGCTGTTTTTTAAGAATCGAGCCGTTTAACATCACTAGTTGGATAAATTTTCAAAATATATTCGAATATAAATACAAATACATTTCAAAATGAAATATTTAAAAACAAATATAAATAATACCTTTTTAAAAATTAAAAGTATCTTTGATTCTTTTTTCTAACTTGGATTACAAAATTAATATTTAAAAAAATAAATTGCGGATTATAGGGGAGACCGGCGTAAAACGATTGGTATTTTGCATTTTTACCTTAATATTTTGAAACATTAACAAAACAGAACTATATCTTTTTACACCTTAAATCAGAGAGAACCTTTTAACCGTTTTACCCATAGCAACTTTACCTCAAGGTGATAGTGTGTAAATCGTTACTGCGTGACTTCTAATTAAGATATAAACTTCCGATAAATTTTATTTTATAGCTAAAACTTTAAGGAACATGTATAAAAAATTTTAAATCCCGACCCTTAATATAATCTGTTTAAAGGAGAGGGAGGTTTTTATAATTTCTGGATAAAAAACGGTTTTTTGGCAAAATAGTTTTTCAAAAGATGAACATAGGTAAGAAATTAGATATAAAAATGTATATTCAAACAAAATTTAAAATCTTTTAGTTTAAAAAGTTATTCGCGTTAATTTGCTACCCCGTCAATCGCTTTACCCCGGTCTCCCCTAAATTTATTAATATCCTAAAAAAAAATAAAAACATTTTGTATTTATTTCAAATAGTAATATATATCGGAGACCTGCAGGCCCGGCCCTAAGGATCCGGATTTTAATTTTTTTAAAATATACCCAGGCAGGGCCTTAAATATTTTTTTAAACACCCGGGTCGGGACTAAAAATTTTTTGGACCATATTTTAAATCGCCTTTATTATCTATAAAAATTTTAAATAATCCGGGCAGGGCCTAAAAATGTTTAAATAAGAAAATCCGGGTCGGGCCATGCAAATGGTCCCTCTACAGGTCTATGATATATAAAAGATATTCACTCTATGTTTAGTTATATACAATAAAAAATACTAAATACTCTCTAAATTATTTAAGATATTGCCCAACCCTGTTAATAATATATAAATTTAAAAAAATACCTATTTCTGGTAAGGACATCGGTCTCACCTCAAAATTCCGAATTTATTAATATTCTTTTGTAAATAGATATAAACCAGATAATTACATTATAATACTTCTAATTCTATTTATATCTATTTTTAAACGAAAATATATATTTTATTCAAAAAAGAAGAAAATATTTCAAAATGATATTTAGCATATAAATTTTTTTTAAATTAATTTAAAAAACATTACTAGAGATTTAAATAATAGTAATAAACAAAAATATGTGTTTAATTTAAATAATCTGACATATTTTTTGTAGCCTAAACTACTATATTATTATAATTTTTTTTTCTAAATTTTGTCCAATGTTTTATATGTGTTTAAATTTTTTTAAATTTCTTTTAAGAAATGAGATGATAATAATAATCTTAATTTTTGCTTTGCTAATTTACTTATGCTTAGAGCATACAATCTATATTTTAAATTTTGAAATATAATGAATGTTGTAACTTGTAATAAAAGTTAAAATCAAAAGTAAATCTAAGCAAAATATAAATACAACCTCCCCACCAACCCCCCTCAATTAAATATTTTTGTTCGTGAGATGGACTAACGATATTTCGAAATGTCGAATAAAAACTTTATTATTTTTATTTAATTAATAATATCATAATCATTTAATTAAGGGATGATATGTACATATTATTTCTTAAATCGGTATCAGGCAATATCGACTATCAAAATGGCGGATAAAAAAATTAAAACAGTGTATTTTAATTATTTAGCCAAGGAATATAAATCGAATCGAATAATTTATAAATATTTACAAGGAATAGATGGCTAGATTTGAATAATTCATTTTATTAGAACGATATTTATTATTTAAAAAATAAATTAATCAGGAGTATTTTTTGGCATGGTACGGTCAATAAACTTTCTTATTTCGAAATGTCAAAGAAATAGTTTTATATCCTTATAATTTTGATATCAAGATTCTACTTTTAAAAATATGAATAAAAATAATATGTTATTATTATGAATGAATATAATAATTTTGGCCATATAAAAAATATAGTAATGATTCATAGTTGTAGATAAAAAAATAGCCGAAATGTAACCAAGCAGTAACGCTTTACATTATTAACTATCATCTAAGTTCTCGATCCCATTTTTATTACTAGAACAAACTGAACAGTCTGTTGCAGTGGGGCCACTAGTCTTTACAATCTTAAGGAGCTAAACTTCTAATTGCAGGGGGCTCTTCAAATTTTTCAGATGGCTCGAGCTCCTGCCCCCTCCCAGAGATAACGCCACTGGTCTGTTTCAAATACAGCCGAATTCCTGAATTGTACAAGACAGAAAGATTGGATTTACCACTTGTGAAAAGCTTTGTTGATTACCTATCGAGTTTTCCATCTTTGGCTAAATCCACATTCACTGAATTCCTTTAAGATTGGGGGGTATGAATTCTTAGATGTTATCTCATTTAAAAATGAACCTATGCTAATGTAACACTTAATATGTCTTCTTTTTCTTACATTATATATGTAGCGAATGCCAACCTAACGACGACAGTTTGGCATCGCATCTTTTACATTACAGATATAGTATTAAATTTTAAACAACTTTCAAATAAAACACTGATTATAGTTTACAACTAAGCTTTACATAATTTTGTTACAGAATATTTTACTACCCAAAAAGATTAACTTTTGGATCATAAAAATACTACCCATTTTTATTAATTTAACAGCCCAAAAAAAATTATCCAAACTAAGAACATAAAGAAATTACCGTAATGCGCAGCAAACCATGTGAAGATGATTTATCAGATATTATGCAGTTGCCAAATAGAGATTTAACGAGCTTTTTAAAGGCCGATCCAAGATAGAATAATTTAAAAATTGAAATACATGATAAAATTAATATATTTGATTTATTATGGTCTATAATCGAGGTTTTAATAAATTTGAAAATAAATATAAAAAACCAATAGGATATTCCAATTTTAAAATAATTACAATATTTTTAAAAAAATTGCATCGTGTCTTAAATTTATCAGCCATATTGATATATCGGATGGACCAATTTAAAGATTATCGGCAAGGCAACAGATACTATTCAAAATAGGAATAATCGGGCAGATATTTAAAAATCGATATTACACTATTGCCCACTATATATATTTTTTTATATGATTACTATTTGATGTTTTATATTTATTTAAAATTATCAATTGATTTTGAATAAGGAATATTTTAAAAAAAATATACTTTTTAAAATCAATTGTATTTTCCAAGGTAGTATATCTTGTCATTTAAAAAAATCTTTATTACTCAGAAATCCCTTTAAAAATAAATAAAATAATGATAGATGGAATCTATTCTTATTTTTTATATTGCTTAAGCTCGACATAAATATAGAAATATTTTTTTTATTAATTATTATTTTTTGATCTAATACTTATTTATATTTTTAACAGGAAATAGGAGAATTAATTATATATTAGATAATAATAATATTATCTTATATTGATATTTAAATCCGATATTAACTTTAATGTAAACAATGCATTCCCTAATTAAAAAATAATTTTAAAACAGTAGAAATTAAGAATTAGTGAATTTTTTGGCAAGGCATTTTTTTAAAGAATTGACCGATCCAATATAAAATGGAAGATTTAATATAATTATACATTATGACACACTTTTAACAAAATATTTGATAGAAATTTGCATTTTTTCTTATATAATAATTAGGAATATACCGATATTTTTATCGGATCGGGCCGATATTTCATCTTTTTAAAATATAGGTTATCAGCTAGTATAAAAATTTCCAATACGATAAAATGACGTCTTAATTTTTAAAAAATTTTGGTAAAATTGGATAATATATTTTTAGTATTATATAAATAGATTAATATTATATAAATAAGTGATTTATCAATAAAAATATTTTATATACTTTTAGATTCGAATATCTATTCTGATCAATATAATATAATATATTTAAATGACTTATGTTGGTGTAGTTAAATTATAGATGTTATATTAATAAATTGTATGAGATGAGTAGATGTATGTAGTGATGCAAAATAGCTCCATTTGAGCCAATTTTTAAAAACGGCTAACTATATTTTAGCCAAAACCTTGAGATTTCATTAATAGATTTCCAAACCTTTGTGCCATATATGAGCGAAATCTTCAGGCTTGCATAATATTTTGATAAAATAGTGATTAGCCCTTTAAAAATCGACTCAAATGAAACGATTTTGCACACTAGATATAGGCATTAAAAATTATAAGAAAAATCGGATATGATATCGGATAGATAATTGACCGATATCAATTTAATATCGGCAATATCGTATTGGGTCGGATAGGCCTCCAAAAAGTGGTATCGCAGTACACCCCTAATAATAACCCATTTAATATATTCTTGGTTGATTTGATTCTATTCCCAATTATATAGAATCTTGATATCAGCAAAATAGGATATTTCTCTAAAATGGTATCGATACACCTCTAGTAGATTTAAATAAATTTGATAACCTAATAGCCTAGTAACCAAAAATGGGTCATCTACTTTGCTCTATTATTTTATTCAGACTCAGAATAACATCTTACGTATATTAATTCTAAATGGCTAAAAAAAATTTCAATTCAAACAAAACTATATATTATTTTCTTCATAAAATTGAAATTTATAATCAATAATTTGCATAAAAAATAACAAAAATATTCAAATTCGTAGTTTTATTCTACTAAAATAATGATGTAGTAAACAATTGTTAGAAACAAACCAGAAATAAAAAAGGAGATGTTAAATACGCAAATAATAATGGACTGAAAAAATGTTCAATTAGGCTTACAATGAGTGAGTCAACTATAACAAACTCAAACCATCGAAATCCATCTATTATTCGCTGGATCATTAAAATAATAAAAACGTAAAAAAATTTTGAACCAAATTGTATAAAATGAATAGCTTATAATATTACTATTAGTAATAAAATAAATAATGGGGAAATTTTCTAAATTTTAATCATAAACCCTAAATTAGATTGTATGTTACGTTAATTTTACTTATTTATTATAACATCTAATAAAATAACACAAATTACCGGATTCCATCTCCCTAATTGCCTTAGCCTTAGCGAGTTCAAGGGCCGTCACCCATCTTTGTCTCTCGACTTCAGAAGTAGCCTTCAGGTGGAAAGTTTGCGTTCCACCGTTCGTTATGACAAAAGACGTCGAATCTACTGTGTCAATGAAAGCGCCTTGGAGACTGATGCTGCCGCGGCAGGTGTGAACCATCTCCGATTGTGATCTGGTCACAATAATGGGGGGAGGAGAGTGATGATTATAAAAATTCAAATCAAAAATGATAGTTTATATAAATATATTAAAATTTGCATTCATGCAAAATAAAGCGAAAATAATCTTTATCTTTTTAAAATGTCAAATTTTGTGAAAAATATTTGAGTCACAATTTGTAAGTTATGCTCTAGTCGAAAAAGATCTTAAATAATGTGACAAAATTTTTCTTCTTCGACAATTTTTTTAGACAGAAATAAAAATTATATTGCTATTTGTAAAATATAAAACTGTAATTTGTAATATCATCTATGAGTTAATACATTTGCAAAATTTGTAAGAAAAAAATGATTCCTGATCGAATCGATTTAATAAAGTTTAATTCATGTTTTCTTTTAATTTATTCATTATTCTTTTCTTTCTGGCATTTTCTTTCCCTCATTCATTCATTTAATTTCTTTAAAATTATTCAACAAATTGACATTAATTAAAAATAATAAATATAAGAATGTGCAAAACAAATTAATTTTCTTAAAATAAATGCAAGAACTAGCTTTAACCTATGGCATATAATATCATTGAAGATCAATAAATAGGAATTAAATTATAATGCATATTTACTAGTAGGCCACGTATCCACGGGCCGATAAAATTTATAATTGTAATAAATTTATGGTTATGAGACAGGAGCCTCAACAGAAAAATGCAAAAATCTAAATCTGACAAGTATCATTAAATAAGATTACGCATTCAATTAGCAAGATAATAATGACATAATTTCGAATAATAAACTACATTTTTTTTAAAGAAAAAAGAATCTGCAGGGCAATAATCTTAGTCTCAATTAAATTTGGATATAATTTGATTATTTAAAATTATCTTGACAGAAAAAAAAAATTGAATTATATAGTATTGAGAAAAATTTGAATCTATTTAATCTACCTTTTTCAAACATTACTTTTCAAAATACTGTATTAAGTGCAAACTATTTGAGAGTTTGCGTTTCATAATGCAAAACGCAAACAATGCATTTCACATAGTATCGTTCTAATTGGAAAAACAATTTATAAACATTAATAACTTTTTGAAAACGCTCAATTAGGTCGCACTATTACACTATTATAGTCCCTTAGTTTATAACTAGGGCTCGAGATCCCATATATTATAAAATGGTGATTTTTACACCTTGCATCTCATGCTTGGAATGAATCTGATTGTGGAGTATGGAAAACCTCTCTTTGAAGATTGATATTTGAGAAGGACATTTTTTCCGCCTCCATAGAAAAGAATACATGGACGGGATGCATTTCTAGGGCTGTGCCAATATTTTTGTCGATATTAAAATATGTAAATGTACATATTTTGGAATAGCCACAAGATAAGCAGTCATCTTAGAATGTTAATAAAACTTTAAAATGAAACAAAAATATTTGAAAGAAGTCAGCATCGGCAAATGAAATAAGCCTATATTGTGGATAGGTTTTTAACAATTTTTTGCCGATCCGATCCAGAACAAATTCTTGATCAGCCAATTCTGACGCTTCCTTATAATAATTTTGTTTTGTAACAAGTTTTAATGAAAAAATTAGCTGCCAATTCTAATGTAGAAAATTCCCAGGACCCGGCTATAACAAAGGTGAAAGTAATTTATGTATAATTGATTAAAATGAACAATGATTCATTTTATAGGGTTTATCTTAGGGCTGTGCCGATATTTCGGGTTTTTTTAAAAAGCGAATCGGACAGATATTTTTTAAAAACCCGATCCTATATTTTTAATGTTTTTTAGATATTTTATGATTATATATTTAATTATATATTATTTTTAATTTTATAAACAATTTTTTAATAAAAATAAATTAATAAAATCAAAATTCAATTTATTTGTAATATTTAACGAAAATCGAATTGTTTAAAAAAATCTAATTATTTTTAAAAAAATAAAGTAGCGAAATATTTGATATTATTTTTTGTTACATTATCTGCAACAAGAAAAAGAATTAGGCATATCTAAAGTCACATTAGGCTAGTATTGCTAACGGCTTAAGATTAGTCAAAAGTAAATTACTCAAGCCTAGAAATTTTGCCCACAGCTAACAGAAATGTTTGGACATATATTGGCGAAACTATAAAGCTTAGATAATAATATTTTGGCTAAAATCTTAATTTAAACATTTTTAAAAATCGACTAAATCGAGTGGCTTCAACACTACATTAAGCCATAAACATTGCCCATATTTTAAATGCTATGATTAATATTTAGAGAATTACACATAATTCTTTGATTATTTTTGAATAGAAAATATTGATATAGATGGTAAATAAATCAATACAAATATCGGATCAGTGATCGGATCGACTTTTAGTAAGATCAGAATTTTCAAATCGGATCGATAAAAAATTTGTGGATTCGCACAGCCCTAGTTTATTTTATTTATTATGTAAAATTTTTAAAAGAAATCGAAATCAGAACCACTTTTCAAAATTTCAGGAACTACCTCTAATAAGAGGCTTACGCAAGGTATTGTTCAAGGATTGCAATGTAAAATGCTAAAAGCATGACAAGAATATCGGGTTTGAACAGGGTTGTGGGGAGAAGGATAGGTCGGACGCTTGATCATTGGCAAGCGAATATTGAACATGGAAATGATAAATATTTAGGCATAAAGTTTTAGCTATTGAGTAAAAAGAGGCCAATAAGAATAGTAAACAAAAGGAAACTAGAAAAAACGGAAATCGGACAGGAAGATGCACCTTGTTATAGGGTGAGATATACCAGTAAAAAATTTAATAAAAGGATCAGCATGGTGATAGGTATTGTTTAACGAGAAATGGGTTGAGTTGAACTCTGATTTGGACATGTTCAAAAAGATAAACTCCCTCGGGGATATCCTTGATTGTAAAATATGGAGAGAAAAAAACTTGCCAACCTAGATTAAACATAAACTAAAGCGTAAGATATTTAAAATCTCAAAGTTATCAAGATGTAAAGCATAAAAAAGGGGGAGAATGTTTTCTTTAAGAGATCAAAAGAGCCTGGCCCGTGAAGATTTTTGAAAAGGTATTTCGACCCGACGAATAAATTTTTTTGCCCAGCCCATAAAACAATAGGATGATTCTATGTCAAATCGACCAACGATTTGATGGATCTTTTTTAAAATTAATCTTGATGTGTTAGTTATATATGTTGAATGTAACTCAAATGGATCCAGAGTTACAATGCAGGTACGATTTTGGTTTTAAGAATCTCACGCAATAAATATTTGGTACAAATTATATACTAATTCTTAGTAGGGTTGTACCGATCCACAAATTTTTCATCGATCTGATATTATTAAAATCCCGATCCGATTTCGATACCGATCCGATATTTATATAAATTTTTATAAACCATAACCATCTATTTTTGTATCAATGTCATAAAATAACAAGTCTATTTTTTTTTAAACCAACTAACTTTCACGCGTATTTATTTTTTATTCTCCAAAAGTTAATAATCTCATTTAAAATATTTGCAAGTTTATTGATGAATGTAGTGTTGTTAAACAGCTATATTTAGTCGATTTTTGGGCTTAAATTTTATATTATTATCTAAGCTTCAAAATTTCGGCAAGAAGTCCAAACCTTTCTGCCACCTGTGGGCAAAATCAGTAAGCATAAGTTATTTACTTTTGATCAAAATCTTGAGTTATCCGTTTTTAAAATTAGCTAAATCGAGTCGTTAAGCAACTAGCTAAATGTAATACGTTAGAAATTTTTTCTTGTTGCAGATAATATAAGTGTAGAGTTTTAAACTATTTTTTTAAACATTACAAATTGTATTTTGGTTCCTATATGATTATATACCATCATAAAATAACCTATAAAATATCGGATCGAATCTCTTTTTAAAAAAATATTGGTGCCGATTTTATTTAATATTGGTCCATCCTTAATTCTTAGCTCTTAAAATTTAGTTTCAATGTATTTCTGATAAAACAAAAATAAGTTACTTCAATAAATTAAATTATTTAAGTAAGAATTAGAATGGAGGAATATATATTAAAACATAAAATATATTATAATTATTTGTAAAATAACCCTTTTATCTTAATTCAATATTGTAAGCACCTATTACAATTACTTATAAATGTACCACCAATATATGTTACAGGTATAATTATATGTCATTTGGATGCTAATCATTTATTTAAAAAATTGGAATTAAAATCAAAGACCTGCAGAGGTACCATTTACATAGTCCAGCCAGGATTTTTTTCCAAAATTTTTTTGTCCTGGTAAGTGTTTTATATTTACAGGACCAGTCCATATTTTTTTTTTAAATATATTTATTTTTAATTTTTATAGCTAATAATGGTAATTAAAAATTTAGTTTTAAAAATAAGGCCTGCCCAGGTATTTTTTTTTAAAAAAATTTAAACCTGGCCCAGGTTATCTTAAAAAAAATTAGGCCTAACCTGAATATTTAAAAATTAAAATACACCCTGGCTGGTGCACTTATAGCAGATTTAGAGCTGGGTCTGCTGATCTCTGATTAAAATAAACCAACATTTATTGATAAAAAACCCTCCTTTTGGGGGGTTCCATTTTTGGACTAATTCCTTTTGAATAATTCATTTTTGTTTTACTGGAAATGTATTGTAAAAAAAATTAAAAAATATTATATTTTCTTAATCACGAGACAAATTGGTACATTTTATACATTTGGACTAAATATCTATTGAGTAATTTGAGATTATTATAATCGAGATTACACTTGTTTGGACTTTAAGAGCCATTGACTCCATATCCACTGAATTGAAGCTTTAAACTTTAAAAATTATATTTGAACTCAATATAACCATCATATGAAGTTTCATTCATTTTAATACATGGTGATCAAAAATCTCATTTTTTGTGATTTATCAATGAAGAATGCCCCAATAGTAAAACATAAAAGGACTTAATTCTAAACATTAAAAATGTTTACAAAATTTTGGACAGACCTAGCCCATAAAAATATTTCTCCCAAGTTCTCCAACCCTGTTTTGGTTCTGGGACAACCTTTCATATTCATTATCTGAAAAGTGAATTATCAAATAGTTAATAAATTTTAATGCTATATAAAAAATTATAAAGTCTCACATTTTGTTGTGACATTTATCATTTACCAAATAAAAAGCTTCTTTAAAATAGTAATTTATTGAAAAACATAATATGGATATTTTTTTATAGATAATTGATATAAAATATAATAATAAATTATATTTAACCAATATTATGATGCAATTTTAACATTTCAAGTAATATTGTTTAAAAAATAGATTATTGGCCAGAATTAAGATAATTTAAGGTAATAATGCCCCAATTGATACATAATTATAGAACTATACTTTCTTTTGAATAGTTTCCAATTAGTTAACTCTAAAATGTTGTCTAAAATAATTCAAGGATTTAGGTAAAATATTAAATAAACATAATTTGTCAAAATATTGAGTATAATCAAATATTCCGGAATTAACTATATTATGAATGCATTGCTATGATCAATTTATAAAATATTTCATAGTAAACCAACATAAGAGTTTATCAATACCTTTTGCTATGTATATAAATATTCACAACATATATATTGTGATTTACCTATAATATGAAAGAATTCCATTAGAAAGAACAAAATATCTTTTTTGATACCCTTTAATATAATTTGTCCATTTATATAGCCAACCTTTGAAATCAGATTCTTGCTTTATTGATAGAGACGTGGTTGTAGAGTTTGATTGATATTTACTATTAGCAAGATTATAATGTAATGGATTTAGTGGAGTGATATAACTCGAATCTCCACTAACTTGCATGAAATAAAAAAAGTAATAATATATTTTAAATCTTTATCCCTTATTTTGGGGTAGAAATACTAAAACACCGTCAATTGATTATCTAAATTTATATCCAATCATATCAAGGCGTATGATTTTGGTAAAATCGCTGAAGGAAAATCTGTAATATAAATTTGTAAAAAATATGAGATGTTATGATTTTATATTAGTGACTAAGTTTCCAGTGCTCCCTTTGAAATTTTTTCCTATAAAATTCTTAAATAAACTTAATCTTTATAATATGTTAAAAACTAATCTGAATTCATTGGGAAAAACTAATACAATTTTTATAACGTTAAAAATATTAATATTATTTTTACTATGTTAAGAAGAACCATTATTTTTTGTTATATAATAGAAATATTAATAAATATTTTGTCATTAAATAAGTAATAAGTTGAATTTTTATATCTCGCGTTAAATTATTTAGCTCATTAATATTATTTATGTATTCTAAACCTATTTTTATATTTTATTTAATCTTTTTGTTAAATTATACATGATATAAAATGATGCAAAGCAATTATAACTTATGGATTTATAATTTTTAGTTATTTTAATAATAAACTCACCTATTATTTTACACCTGGTAAATCATTTTACAATTTTACTACGTTAAGAAGAATTACCATTATTTTTACTACGTTAAAAAATTTACTATTATTTATACTACGTTACAAAATTTACTATTTAATTTACTACGTTAAAAAATAAACATGAGAGAAGCAAATTTAATATCGATCATTTGTTTTTAATAAATTTTTTTTTAATTTTAAATCTATTTTTGATTTCGATTGAAAAAAACTTACTAAAAAATTTAAAATCTAGCAATAACTTTTATAATTCAGTACTTTGATCATCTTACTCAAACAAAGACGAATTCTACTTATTTATATTTTGATTTTTTTTATAGTTTGACTAAATAAAAATAAAAAAATTTTTTCAATTGCTTCCTTAGTAGTACTTGACGCTTCGTCACTGTATCATATATTATATCATTTGACATATATTACAGCGATTCATATTGGTATGAAATAAGAAATAAAGTTGTTTTAACAATTTATAACTGTTGTAATATTCAAATGAGTTAAAGAAAAATGAAGAAAAAAGATTTATTATTCAGATTAAATAAAGTTCAAGATTATTTCAGTTTGTTTTTTAAACATTATGTAAATGAATATTAAAGAAAAGTATATATAATCGAGGATATTTTTATTGTAAAGGGATCATGATTTTACGAACTTAATTTTTTTAATCTTTAATTTTTAATTTTAATTTTTTTATATTATTTTAATTTCTTATTTTAATTATGATTATGAAATTAGTATTTATATTAATTTATAAAGTATTAGTAGTTTATTTATACTATTTATTTTATGCTTTAAATTTTCTCAACCACTACATTTGTGGGCCGAAACATTATGTTCTATGGACATATTCAGTCTCCATAAAATACCAAAATGTTACATTGGTGTTGGAGAGAGGAGGCGACGGGGCAATTTCAACATTTCAGTCTAATTACCTCTGAAAAGAAATTCTAAATAAAGGGGGAAGGGGATGTATGAAATGACTTGACTAAGACAAAGAATGAGAGCAATAAAACAATGGTATCAATATTAATGATCGTAATTCGGAAAAGAATAGAATTAGTCGTTTAGCTAAAAAGAATTCGTCACAAGAGATCGTTATAGGTACAAGTTATCGTTTAGCTAAAAAGAATTCGTCACAAGAGATCGTAATACGTACATATGATCGAGGTAGCTAAAAGAAATTCGTGATAAATTTTTATTAAAGATATACTTTTAACTGTTATTTAAGTTGATAATATTTAGCAAAATATCAGGTTGTTGATTAACCAAAATCTTCATAAAGAGAAACGGCTTTCGTCATTAGAAAATATATGCCGCAATCGAGCTCAATTAGAGATCAGATTTTTATTTTGGATCGAATGATACAAGAAATCATTATCGTATAAGAGATCTTAAGGCAACGTGATATCTTGACAAGCGACTAGGAAGAACAAGTGGTCAAGACCAGGATGCAATCGTTAATCGTTGACAAATTATCGCCAATTGCTTATCAAAACTTTAGTATAGGATAAAGAATCGATGATCTTAGAAACAAGAATTCGTGAAAACAATCGTTAATCGCAGAATGTGGGGTCTAATCTAAGTGGAAGGGTGTTGTAATATTCAAATGAGTTAAAGAAAAATGAAGAAAAAAGATTTATTATTCAGATTAAATAAAGTTCAAGATTATTTCAGTTTGTTTTTTAAACATTATGTAAATGAATATTAGAGAAAAGTATATCGGGGATATTTTTATTGTAAAGGGATCATGATTTTATGAACTAAATTTTTTTAATCTTTAATTTTTAATTTTAATTTTTTTTTATTATTTTAATTTCTTATTTTAATTTCTTATTTTAATTTCAATTTATTTTAATTTCTTATTTTAATTTCTTATTTTAATTTCTTATTTTAATTATGATTATGAAATTAGTATTTATATTAATTAATTAAAGTATTAGTAGTTTATTTATACTATTTATTTTATGCTTTAAATTTTCTCACCCACTACATTTGTGGGCCGAAACATTATGTTCTATGGACATATTCAGTCTCCATAAAATACCAAAATGTTACAATAACATATAATTTTATAATGATTTTTTTTCGTCTGTAAAGATTTAAAACATTATAAAGGTAAAAATATAAATAATTCATTAAAATAATTTTTTGTTTTAGAAAAAAACACTTGTCTTAAATAAAATGTAACCCAAGATTCTTTAAATTATTCCCCTTGAGTGATAATGTATATAAAATAACGTGATTAGTTGGATGAAACATAGCTCAACTCATCCACATTTTAAACTTATCTCACTCATATTTTTATATTAAGCTTCGATATTTTAGACATCTATTAATAAACTTAATTATAAAAATTTTGGAAATTTAATCATAAATAAAAAATGTTATGACTTTTTGTATAGATGGTCAATAAACATTGAAAAATCATTTTTAATATAAATATTAATAAAGGATGACAACAGGAGACAGGGAGAGAAATTCCTCCTCCTAAAAGCAATATAATTTGAAGAAATTATATAAGGTTTTAAGGTATTCCATTTAAAATAAGCCAAATTCTTTTTTAAATTTAACAAAAATTAAAATTAATTTGAATATTTCTTCCCTATTAATACTTATCCCACGAAAATTTAAATTATATTTTTATAAACTTTAAACACTAATAGACATAAGAAAATTTTATATCCAAAAAAATTTAATCTAATGTATCTCTACTCATTTTTATGAGCCTCAGCTCCCATATCCACATTTGCGACCTTCAGCTCGCTTTTACCCGGCTTTAGGTCGAGACTCCTTCAATGGTTTGTTTATCATGTTTTTATTATTTCTTATATTTTTGGATAAAAATGGGTTAAACACAAGAGTTATCACATTTTTATTTAAAAAAGACTCATGTGAAGATGAGATTCCCATATTATATTTTAAGAATTGCACATATAAATTCATACTAATTGATCATATAAAAACATACTTATCGCAATTGCGGATATAATAAAATATATATTCACAAATACTTCGGCCCGCTTTTGCCTGGTTATCTTAGTCTATATAAAGCCATAAACTATTTTTACAAGATAGGAGGTTAACTTTAATAAAAAAAAAAAAGCCTGGAACAAATTTGAAATATATTTTTATTAGTTTATATGAAATTTATTTTCTATTAATTTATATAAAATATAATAAATAACTTGTATATACATTAATATAAAAGCATGGTAATAATTTATTCCAAACAAGTAGAAGAAATTTATTTATAAAAAGTAAGTAGACATATAGTTGATATTCCTCTGCTATATAGAATTAGTTACAAAATACTAGGTAAAATTCCAGTTTTACAGACATATGAAGATATTACAGTTAATATTTTAACAAATTTTACTAATCAATACTCTTGATAATAAATATAGCAACAATTTGCATTCAATTATTTAGCGCCATCTATTTATCTTAATAAATGATATTAATTTTTATATTATTCATTCTACAATGTTTTTAAAAGATATTATCTGATGTCCTTATCAATATTTAATAGTTTTTTGTAAAATATATTGTTGATTATAGAATCGCGTTTTGGTATTGTTTAAATTTTTTATATTATAGTATTAATTTACATGTTATATTAATAATTTTGATCCATGAAGTAATTAAAATTTTATATTACGTACTTTTTTTATTCTTTTTATTTTAATTTGAATTTAACTCCTTTATTCTTTAGTTTAATAAATTTTTTTATAAAAATTTCCTTAAAATCAAATTTCAAACTTTTAAAAATAAATTTTATTCTCAACAATTTTATTCTCTCCTTCATTAAGAATTCTTTTATATGTTCAATTTTAATTTTGTCATCCTTTCTCCTAACACTACTCCTATTTCTTTTAACATTATTCCTACTTTTACAAGTAATATTTTTCACTTTTTTAAAATTTTTGCATTTCCTAGATTCTTTATCAATATTAATTAAATTATTTATATTATCACATTTTTTCTCTTTTATTATTATTTCTTCAAATTTTACTATGTGATTCGTATAACTATATATAAACGTTTCTACTATATCATTTTTTAATATTTTTACCGACGTAATTTCAAAATGTTTAGTTTTAATTTCTAACTTTTCTACAATTTTTGTTTTATAAATGTCTACTTTTTCTGCGTTAATTCTACAAAAATGTCTCTTGTTAAATTCATTAGTCGTTTTCCACTCTTCATACGACTTACTATTAATATCACTACGAAATAAAGAACTATATACTATTTCTACATCAATTGGCTTATCCTTCACTATTGGTTTTTTACTTCTATTTTCATTGATTGGTTTTTTTACTTTTACTTCATTATTTTTTATACTATTATATATATAATTATTATCATTATTATATCGATACTTATTGTAATTGATATTATGATTATTATTTCTACTGTTAAATCTCGCATAAT